AGAATGGAGCAGCTGTACATTAACTCACTTTTAGATGTATTCTTGCATTTTACAGTCTTCATCATAACTCAGCCATGAAAATAAATAAGCACTTATTAGGTAAAGACTTTGAAAACAGTGTAAAATGGTAAATGGACTGTACTTATAGCACCTTTCTATCTTATTGAGATACTCAAAGTGTTTTACACTACAATCTGTGCCCATCCATACAGCACTCTACTAGATCTATACGAAGATTAATCAGTGCTTTATCACATTCATACACCGATGGGACACACATCGGAGGCAATGAAGGGTTCAGTGTCTTGCCCAGGGACACTTCAGCACGTGACTGCTGGTGGCATCCAACCCCCAACTCTTGCACTGGAAGACGACTGCTCTGATCACTCAGCCACAGCTGTCATGTATAGATATTGAAGGTATGCTGATCAAACTATTTGCCAGATTCTTAGTTTCTTGTGGATACTTTGTCAACAAAAAAGAATGAAACTGCCAAATTCTACATTTCTTACATTTTTGTCAGAATGTGTGAGAAACTGGTTAGAAGTGAAGTAGTGACTGATGGCAACAATTCATGAAAACAACATATTAATGTTTGAAATATTAGCAAGTGAGATGCAGCTTCAACTTCCAGACCAACAATGACAATAAGCAGACTGATAAAGCTTTCAGCAAATGCTCCACTTTCCAAGAGAAGCATCAAAAGCTTCATCAAGTTTCTACAAAAACCTCTTTATAATCTTCATATACTGAATTACTGTACAGTGTTTTGCAAAGGACACTTTGATTGGGGTGTTCAAACCCAATTTTCCATTTATAGGACATTATCACTGAGAAAGTTCATGCTCTTTCTTTTTTCCTAGTATTTTTCTTGGTTGTTTTCAAAGACGCCAATTATTTATTCAAAATAGTAGGCTGGTTGATTTGATCAGAAGAAATGTGTTCAGATTCCAGGTATGAAAAGTAAAATGCTGACGCAGTTTGAAACTTTTATAAGACGGCGTGCAAACAGTGGATACTCTTTGCTTTTGTCCACATCCTCCAAGTTTCATTATAATTATTTCTAAAATGAAAAGTTTCTTACCCTGAGAGATGCTTTCTTTGAGATGTGTGTTTTTGTATGTCTCATGAGCATTTCTTCGGATGAGGGGGTGTTACATCCCAGACGAGTTACCACGGTGACAAGGTGCTCCCTGCCGCCGTCGGGTCTCGGCCAAGTTGGGCGCCATGGTGGCTGGGTGGTGACAGACATAGTGACGGGTCCTCTAGGACACCACGGATGGGTCAAACTCACACATCCGTGTATGTGTATACAGTTTAGACATTTACTACTGCTGCTAAATATCATTTAAAAAATACAGTATATGTAATTTAAGTTTGCAATAACTTTACCATAATGTGTAAAGTGTAAATAGGTGTATAATTTCTACATCCACAGTTGGAAGATAAATAAATGTAGGGTTTACACACAGCAACAAGTTGCCACATTTGTTTTGTTTGCTTCCAGGCTAAATGATAAACTTATGAGCATTTGGCGTCAATGTTACATTAGCAGTTTGCTTCCTGATGCAACAGGACATCATACTATCTGCTTCATATTGCATGATTCATTGAGTAACCACACAAAAAAAAACGTTAAGTCATGTCATCTGGACAAATAATTTATTACTTTTATTTTTTTCTATATAAAAGCTGCAGCCAGAACGTGCACCAAACTATCCACTGTGCCACTCTGATTTTGCTGGCACCATGCATGTGTGTGTGAAGTGTCTGTGTTTGTATGTGCCTGTGTGTGTTAATGGTAATGACCCGCCTCAACTCTGCAACAGCCTTTTGATTTATGTACCTGTGGAGTTGCATACTTGACTGCTCATCTGTGTGTGTGTAGATGTTTGTGCGTGCCTCACGGTTGAAGTATTAAATAAATGTATAAAAAACAAGTCTAACGTATCAAAAAAGAGAGAGAAAAAATCCAGCATTTCCAACAAAATCAGATGTAAGACACACCATCAGGAGCAAATGCAAAACGTGAATCAAAGACAGGAGCAAAGCAAAGAGCCACAGTTGGAGCTTCCTGCTGTGAGAGGTCATGACCCCTATCAGACTCCATGTCAGTCTGCCTATTGTGTCCTGGGCTGAGCTCTAACACAAATACATACACACACACGCTACGCCATAACTTATACAGTCTCCATGACAATGGTGAGGGCGACAGTAAGGCGGCAGGATGGCGCTGTATTGGCAGCAGAGGTGTTGTGATGAAAAGGAACACGCTGATCATCACCATATATTTACTGTAGTGAGTACTGCAGGTGCAGTCACTGTTTAATGAAGGTCGTACACAAGTTTTTAAAAAAAATGGAAGTAAACAGTATTACCGTTCGTATTCTATGAAAGGTTACACAAAACCACAAAAAAAAAAAAAAAAAAACATTTTTAATGTCTGCTTTTCTAAATTAAATTGTGAAACGTTTGAACTTGTCAGTGGCTAAATCTAAGTGTACTTTGTGTTTTCCTGAGGAGTAGGGGTGTATTTGAAAATGCTTATTGCGATGGTTTATTATCTGGGGGTCCAAACACTTCTTTAAAAAAATCTTCAGTTAATCCAAAATGCTGCTGCCAGAGTCTTAACTGGAGTTAGTAGGAGAGATCATATCTCTCCAGTTTTAGTTTCTCTCCATTGGCTCCCTGTCAAGTCCAGAATATAATTCAAAATCTCACTTATAACCTACAAAGCTCTCAACAACCTAGCTCCATCTTATATTTGAGATCTTATTGTTCCATATTTTCCTAACAGAGCACTTCCCTCTCAGACTGTAGGCTTGGTCCCCAGAGTTTCCAGAAGCAGAATGGGAGGAAGATCTTTCAGTTATCAGACTCCTCTCTTGTGCAACCAACTCCCAGTTTCTGTCCGTAAGTTTGACACATTGTTTAAGACAAGGCTTAAGACTTTCCTTTTTGATAAATCCTTTAATCAGGGTTGGCTTATTATGCTGCTTTAGGCTTAGACTACTAGAGGGCAAATTGACCTAATTTCCTTAAATGAATTGTTAAAATTGAATAGTTTTCATTTGATACTATTTCTATCTAAACATGTGATTCTTGACCTGCCATTGTGTATCTGTTCCTCCTTCCTGTTCCTACCAAACCCAGCCAGTCAAAGCAGATGGCTGCTTGTCCTGAGCCTGGTTTTTCTAAAGGGTTCTTCCTCATGAGGGAGTTTTTCCTTTCCACTGTTGCCTTCATGCTTGCTCAAGATGAGAGTTCTGCGATGAAATTAAATTCAAAGCAGTCTGCTCCTCAGATAAATAGTGTTAACTTATTTTTTATATATATGAATGTTTCTGTCCAGTGCCCTGAGATTACTTCTGTTGTGAGTTTGCACTGTATAAATAAACTGAATTGAAATTGAATTGAATAACTATGGACATTGACACTTTATAAGTGCAATATATACATAGATAACATTTTAAAAAGTAACATGTATTTTAATACCGTTCTTTCATGGTATACTTGATGCCGCCCACACATGTCATGGTTTGATGTAAAAAATAAAAAATAAAACTAAACTAACATTCCTTACAACACACCAAACGCAAGCCTTTCAACGACTCTCATCAGATTATTTTGACTTTACAGACAGTAGAATGTAAATTCTGGATATTTTTGTTATTGTTGCTCAGTTTAACCAGATATGTATTCAGCATACTGAATTTGAATCTATTGGCTATAAACACTTGGAGGGAGAATAAGTTTAATTTTTCTGCAAGTGCAAGTCATTTATCTAAAAAGATATTTTGTTCAATTTACATTATAGGTAAATCTGTATTTTTCTGCTTTAAAAAGTGCATCTAAAACATATTTATTTTAAAAAGATAGCTCAAACCACTCCAACAAGTGAACGCAAGGCCAGCCCTTTCCTTCATCACAGGGAATCTGCTGCCCTCTTTTGATTAGAACATGTAAGACAAACTTGCTAAAAATTGTTGAAATTACAAGGAAGATGAAAGCGTCAATGAAAGCTTTGTCAATAAGAAATGTTTTAAAAACTACAATTAACAAAATGTATGTCTTAATTTTCTATTTGACATTCATATAATAGATGTGATAAATGTGATAAACATTGGTCACTGGTTTGTAAGGGATTTACAGAAAAGGGTTCATGCTGAGAGCATCGTGGTGGCGTAGTTGATAGAATTGCCGCCTTTCAGCGAGCAGGTTGCCAGATCAAATCCCAGTCGGGGGCCTTTCTGGGTGGAGTTTGCATGTTCTCTCCGTGCATGCATGCGTTTTCTCCGGGGACTCCGATTGCCTCCTATATAGCAAAAACATGCATGTTAGGCTGATTGGTAACCCTAAATTGTCCCTAGGTGTGAGTGAGAGTGAATGGTTGTTTTTCTAATTAGTCTGTGTGTGTCTCTGTGATGGACTGGAGAACTGTCCATGGTGCCTCCCGCCTCTAGCACAGTGACTGCTGGATATGGGCACCAGTGACCCCCACGACCCGAAAAGGAAGAAATGGGTAAAGATGGATGGAAAAATTCAGGCTGCAGTACTTTTTTTTTTTTAATTCTAACTTTTTTCTCAGAATTCTGACACCAAAAAAGTTAGAATTCTGCCTTTAATCTAAGAATCTAAGATTTATGAGGAAAAACAATCCAGAATTCAGGAAAATATTTTTTTTAGTGTTTGAATAGTTACCAAAGTAACAGGAAACAATGTGTTCAGTTCAATGTTATCTGATCAAACTTTATAACCCTTCTATGTGTTGTCTAGGTCTTCAGTTTTATAGACGGAAAAAAAAAAGAGAAACGGAAGTGTATTACCGTGAACTATCTTGGATTTCCGGTGTAAGTCCCGCCTACTTGTTCCTCTGGCCTATTAGCAAAGCAGGAGGCAAGTGCCGTCCTGACTCAGCCTCTACAGTAAGCGGGAAACACCGGTAGCTGTATTCGGAGTTAAACTGTTACGTATTATATTTAAAATATACTTGTTCTTTTTATTTTTACTTAACATGTGTGTGTTAGAGTTATACTTTGAACCACTGGGGTCAAAATGAAGCAGTGACAAAACCTAAAATTCGCAGAGCTCCTACGCCCGGCTCTTATGCTAGCGTGTATCTTTAGCCTAAAGCTGAATAGTCCCATTGGCTAACAGGAAGATACTGCTTGATGTGCTACGCTACAGAAAATTTTCAGAACAGACAAAGGGCTTCCTCTGCTTGTCATGAAAAAAGGGACTAGCTAGAATGAGTCTCTTCAATTTAGACCGGTTTCGTTTCATGAAGAAAAGCGCAAACAAAGAAGACCAGGTTTGCGAGACCAAAAGACTCGATTCTGAAAAGGAGAACAAGCCAGGTAAGTAGTAGCAACGATCGGTTGTTAGCCAGATGTGTCTGACATGCTAACAGTAACATGGATACTGGACGCTTTTGCTTACGGACTCGTCCTTGCCGTGTCTTTAATATTTTGTTAAGTAACATAATGTGATTAAACAGAATACATTTGGAGTTAATCGTGTCAGAAGATCTCGCATTCGTCTCCATTATCAAGAGTCTGTAGTCCAAGCTAATACTCAAGGTTCAACATTCAAGGTTCTTTTATTGTCATTCGCATCACATGTGGTACATGAGGAGGAACCAAATTGTGTACACATGCTCCCAGTTACATCCAACAACAGCAAAAAATCTAAATTGTAAAAAAAAAAAAAACAGTAATAAGGATCTAAGATGTAAACTAAGAAATATGCTAAGTGCAAAACAATACGCCGAACAACAGCAGCACAAACATGAGTCTGTGTGAGTAGATGAATACGAATGAATACAGCAGCATAGATAATCAGCAGCACATATCAAAGTAGCATTATATAGATTATTTTTTTTCAGAGATAATCCTGATTCGGGATTTATGAGTCTTAACAGCTTCATGGTAGAAGCTGTTCTTCCGTCTAGTGGTTCTGCACTTAATGTCTACAACCTTCTGCCTGAGGGGAACGGGGGAAAAACCTTGATCTGAATTTTGATCAGGCTGGTAAGGTTGTTGCCCCAGCTGAGGTTGTCCTTCAGGTGTACACCCAAGTTCTTGTAACTGGAGACCACTTCCACCGCTGATCCTCCTATATTCAATGGGGGGGTAGGTGTGTTTGTTCCGTCTAAATTCCACATCCATCTCCTTCGTCTTCTTCACATTGATGTGAAGGTTGTTCTTCCTGCACCAGCTCTCCAGGTGTTCCACCTCCTGCCTGTAGCTGGACTCATCATTGTTCGTGATGCATCCAACCACCGCTGTATTGTCTGCAAACTTTATAATATGATGGCCTGGATGGGTAGGTGCGCAGTCATATATGCGAGTAGAGTGAACAGGAGGTGGCTTAACTCACAGCCCTGAGGGGAGACAATGCTGCGTGTTATGGTTGATGTGGAGAAGTTGTGGATCTTAACCGAGTGTGGTCTGTTTGTTAAGAAGTCCAGGACCCAGTTGCAAATAGAGGGGCTTAGTCCTAGTGTGAGTAGTTTGTCCGTCAGTGTCTGGGGGATCATGGTGTTGAAGGCAGATGTGAAGTCCACAAAGAGCATATGGACATAGGAGTCCTTCTGCTCCAGGTGGGTGAGAGCAGTGTGGACCACAGAGGAGATGGCATCCTCTGTTGATCGATTCTTGCAGTATGCATACTGGTGAGCGTCCTTGCTGATGTTAATGGTTGTTTTGATGTGGGTCATGACCAGTCTTTCAAAGCATTTAGCAACTGTCTGGGTCAAGTCATATTTATTTATAGAGCACAATTTAAAACAGATAGACTGTTATCAAAGTGCTTAACACTAAGGGTAACACTGAGAAATAAAAAGCAGTAAGAATATACCTTAAAAAATTAAAACAACAGCATTAAAATGAAGACATGGAACAAGATATACTAAATCAACTCACACAGTATGAAACGCCAGAGAGAACAGATATGTTTTTAGCAGGGATTTGAACACAGGAAGGGAGGTGGCATGCCTAATGTTGGGGGGTAGGTTGTTCCACAGTTTGGGACCCATGACTGAAAACGCCCGATCTCCTCGGAGCTTCAGTCGTGTTTTTGGAACAACCAAAAGCAGCTGATCGGATGATCTCAGAGCCTGAGAGTGAGGGCCACTGGCCAATAGTCATTCAGACCAGACACTGTAGAGCTTTTTGGGACTGGGATGATGGTGGCAGTCTTCAGGCAGATGGGAACAGTTGCCAGGGTGAGGGAGGAGTTAAAGATGTTGGCCGGCACCTCGCAGAGCTGATCAGCACAGTCTTTCAGCACCTTCCCCAGGATGTTGTATTGCCCAGACAATAATAATATAACAATATAACAAATATAAACCATCCCAGTTTCTGCTTAGGTTTTTACATTGCTTCCTGATTTGAACCTTCAAATTTTTAACATAGATGTAGCATATTTACAGTTAGGGATTCATGAGTCCAACAGCTTCAGGGTAGAAGCTGTTCCTCAGTCTAGTGGTTCAACACTTAATGCTCCGCAACCTCCTGCCTGAGGGGAGCGGGTCAAAAAGTATGCGTGCTGGGTGAGTGGGGTCCTTCATGATGCAGGTGGTCCTCTTCCTGCATCTGGAGGTGTAGATGTCTGTGATGGTGGGGAATCTGACTCCAACTGACTTGACAGTCTGAATTTATGTATGAACAGGAAAGCATACCTTTTGAAAAACCTTCCTCCGTCTGTTTGTTTCCTATTGTTTACAAGCCTGACAACATTTTATATACCTGACAAAAATTTTATTGTTTGTTCCAGCTCAAAAGAAACCAATTAAAACCCCATCAAATTCCCATGCACGAGGAGTGGTTTTTGAAGAAGTCTATTCAGTTGACTTGGAGGAGGATGTGGTTCTCCCTGAACCAAAGAAAAAAACAACCCCAACCAAGAAATTTAAGTATGTGCTTGTGTTTGTGCATTCTTTCTAATCAAGGCCATGGTGTTCCTGAGGCCTTGAAGTTGCCAGAGTTATCAAAAGTGTCATGAATTAAGTAAATGTTTTCACTGTTTAACAAGGTTAAGTCAGGTCCTCTGGACAGATTATTTTTGTTGAAACATTTCATCTTTTATCCAAAAGACGACTTCAGTCTGAGGAGCTGCAACACACTCAGTCTTATAAATAGCACCTTCTCAGTGTAGATTAACCAGTTTGCTGGTGACAGTCAAAACTAGTTGTTCACATGCAAAAGGAGGACCATCAGCCTGACAATTGGTCTTTAGAGCCCTAACAATTGTTAGTACCCTGATTGCAGCTTGCTATTCACAGAGGGCTGAGTGATGCTTGCAATAACAGCATTGTAAGAGGGTGGAAGTTGGAACACAGAGGTCTCCACCCCTGTTTAATGATGGATGGGTTCTCTGTTCCCTGTGTCCTTCTGTGACCTGACTACCTTGTTAAATTTATCTACCTGGATTATTGAGCATGCATCAGGATATTTTCACTGTTGTTTTCTTTTACAAAAGGCCTGTTAAGAAGGCAGCATCAAACCATACAGATGACGAGGACAATGAGATGGATGACAAAATGAGCAAATTGTTGGAGATGTTTCCTCAGTTGACAAGAACTGATGTTTTAGAGGTAAGATTAGCTGATGTGTTTTTGTTATATTTTAGTAGATTTTTTTTTTCCAAATCAAATTTTCCACAAGCCAATTTATTTATTTATTTTTAATTCAGCTAAAAGTTTCATATTTATTTAAAATAACTTGATATAAAGTGAATATCTTCTGCAGATAAACAGTGTATTTGTATCTATCCATCCAACCAGCTGTAGTTTGGATGCTGCTCTACATTAGGACTTTTTTTTCTGGTTTATATCTATTTAATACACCATGTTCTTTTTGTTTTGTTTTCAGGTCATTAGGGATACAAGCACGCTGGAAGGAGCTGTAGCTGCCTGCCTATTCAAATTTGGGGATAAAGAAGGTAATTTAATTTGATGTTGTTATATTCTTTCACAAATATGTCCTATTTCCTACCAAAACCAAAAAAAAAAGCCATCAATTGATAAGACTGGAACAATGGCTGCTTTCTTTGTTTTGTCTGTTTGTTTTGTATTCCACAGCTTTGAAAGTTTTATAAATCTCATATTCTAGCACAGGAAAGCAAACTTAGATGTTTTAAATGTGCAAATATCACAGAACTAAAAAAGTGTCCACATGCTGCTTTTGTTGGTGTTTTTTATGAGACCACTGCTTGTGTTGCCTCTCAGCTCAGAGTAAAAACAAAAAGCGAAAGCAGGATGAGTCCAGCAGTTCTCAGGATATTCGTGAGATTCAACTGAACAAGAAAAGGAGACAATCAGTAAGATCACTAATGCCTCTTATAGTGGAAAATGACATTTATTTGGCTTTTTTGTAATGATCAGTTGATGCCTGCCTGATGTTTGCCATATTTTTTAAACTAAATTGAACTGAATTTTGTTTTGTTTTCCTCACTTTGAAGACCTCTGATGAAGAAGAAAATGACAAGAAAGAACCAAATTGGGAGAAGCAAGAGGCCATGGTGAGACGACTCCAAAAAAAGTTTCCTAACCAGGATAAGGAGGTGAATTTATCTAGTATTTCTTATGGAACAGTGCTTTTTTTTCATGCAGACTAAACTATTGACAAAATGACTCTGTTCTGAATTTTCTTAGTTTAACTTGGCCTGAGTTTATGTCGTCACATGGCAAAGTGTAATGAAGATCTCACAGCCTGACATGTCTGACATGTACAGCAGCTGCTGCCTTTCAGCTTAAACAAAGAAACCAGTTTGCTCTTTACAGCTTTATGCCTTTTTAAAAACCCTACAGAATGATGCACCAGTACTGTTTAAAAAGTCCACTTTTCTATGTTCATAGAAAAGTGTTTCCCCTAGATCAGTTCCCTTGATGGGTGCTCGTCGTATTTTATTTTTTTTGACCGGGCAGATGGAGGAGGACAGGATGGAGTCACGTCTGTGTTGCCCGCCTGCTAGCTTAGCACTACATTGCTGCTGGTTTTTACCGGTGGGGAAGTGGGGAAGCATTACATCACTAGCATTTTTGCTAGTGCGTTTGTATTGCACCCCACGCTACAACAATACCGACAGTTGTCACGCTGGGGGGGGAGGGTCAGTAGGTAGGGCACTCGGTTTTGTTGAGGGGGCGGGGTGCCCTGCTTTTATAATGGTAGGGAAAACACTGGGAAATTTATTAAAGAAAACTTTGTGGTTTTCTTTCTTTTATTTACATATGTATATAAACTACTAGAGTCGGACTGATATGGAAATTTTGGCTTTCGCCGATACCGATATTGGGAGGGGCCGGCTTATGCCGATGACTGGTATATTGGCTGAATTTTTTTTTTGCTTTATCCACCCCCAAGGATCTAAGTAAACAGCTACTTTTAAACTGTTTTTAACACTTTTTGAAGTCTTGAAACTGTCTTCCTAACGTGCGTTAAGAGCATTAGCATTTTCTATTCGCCACTACTCACCATAAAGTACATTTTTGTACATAATTGTACATTTACACCTTTTCGGGGTGAAAATTAGAAGTGTTATCGGCACATAATGGGCCAATTATCACTGATGCCGACATGTCCCCAAACCTATATCGACCGAAAGATATTGGCCCAACCAATGTATCGCGCCGATATACCTCCCCGACCATCTAAGGATACCCCAGACTACAGAAAGTTTTAAGGTCTAAAGACCTTATAGTGTTTAAATGTATTTTTAATCCTGCTGTTTTTAGTATTTTTTAGTTTTTAATTTAAGTCCATGTTTTATTCTTTGTAGATATTTTATACTGTAGCACTTTGTGATTGCAAAATGTAAAGGCCAGTACAAATTGAATAAATTATTATTATATCGGTTGGACTCTATGAACTACCATTGTAGTCTTAACTGAAACTAAATTATGCTACCAGTGATTCCAGTAATTTGTAAAGAATATTTATTGTAGCAGTGATATTTACTTTCATTCAAGTTAAATATTCTGAACAGCAGGATCACAAAATGACTTGTTGATTTTGTGACTTTGGGTACGTATAATAATCCAAAACTAACATTGTGACAAGTGGAAGAAAACTGAAGCAGTCTGTGTTTACGTTGGAAAACAACGTCTTGTCTACCATCTCTGATGGTGTCTGCTGTCTGTTTGGTGCAGGAGCTGAGAATGGTGCTTCAAGAACATGAATGGAATGTTGAAGATGCTCTGCAGGTTCTACAAATGTTCTCAGACTCAGGTGCAGACTCAGCTTCTAGTCTGAATCTGGTCATCTTATTTGCATCATGTTTATTTTTTGGTACTTTTTATTTGTTTGTATGCAGTACTATCTTCACTAATATTATTATTTTCATTGACAGAAAATAGTTCCTGCTCAGCTGAGTCAGAAAAAACGAAGTCAAAGAGCAAAGATAAGTCGAGGAGAGACCACAAAGTTTCAAGGGACCACAAATTCAATAGTGAAAAGATGGTGGAAGAAGACAAGGACCACAGAGATCACAGTGAATCAGATGTGAACGATTCAAATGATACAGATGTCACAAAGGACAGTGAAGAAGATTCAGATTCGGATGACAGCGAAAGTTCCCAAATCAAAACTTACAACTCTGTTCATACTTCACAGGCTGAGAAAAAATCAGATTCAGTCTCTTCATCCTCCTCTGTTAAGCCAACAGCTACCTCTTCCTTTGTGACACCTTCCCCTTCCTCCCCACCCTTTCAGACTTTACCCACATTTTCCAGTGAGACCAGCATTGTTAAGAAGCAGGCAGCTGAGAGAAAGATGAAGGCACGTTCCTCACAAGAACCTATGAGTTCTGAAGGGGAAAGTGATCAGGAAGAGGACATCGTGACAAGCGAGTTTGAGAACTCTGATGATGATGAGCTAGATGTTGAATGTGCCAGGCCAGATTTAAGGAAGGACATTCTCACGTTTTTTCAGACTGCAACTAAAGATGAGCTGTCTTTGATTTCTGGCTGCTCTATAAAAAAGGCCCAGAAGATTGTGGAACTGAGGCCTTTTGATACATGGGAGAGCCTGGTGAGAGATTGTTTTACTTTTCTGTTTGTGTTTCAAACTTGAAGAAAGAAATCATATATACAATGTAGTCATGTTGTTATTTACCACAGATTGTTAAAGTTTTAAGGAGAAAATTAAACTTGGCAGAGCTATTGTTGCTGGTAAAAATGTTCCTTATAAAACACATGGAGTACACCTATTCAACTCACTACTCAGAAGTACTTGGATAAGACATTTCTCACAAAATATTAAATGAGTAGAACTTTTCATTTTGTATCAACTTACGTCATGTCCTTTAACTATTGTTCTCAACATGTTTTTTTTCAACAAAGAAGAATCCGTCCAGAGGACCTGACTCAACCTTGTTAGATTTTTCTGTCTGTTTTATTGAGCATGCTTCAGGATTCTAACCATTGTAGTTTCTTTTCAGTGGGATGTTTTTCATAAAGGAAATGGACTTTCAGATGATTTGTTGTATGGCTGCAAAGTTGTCCTCAAAGAGCGGAAGGTTGTCTTGGGACTCATGTCCAAGTGTGAGACCATTTCTTCCAAAATGGTCAAACGGGTCACCCAGGTCATGGAAAGTGGAAAAGAATCTTCAAAACAGCCCGGCATACTCAACAGCCAGTGAGTGCAATTCCAACCATAATCCATTTTCTTTACCTACATTTTCCTTACCAGGTCACAGGGGAGTATGTCCAGCAGTCACTGAGCAAGAGACGGGGTACACCCTGGACAGCTCACAAGTCCATCACAGGGACACATGGAGACGAACAACCATTCATTCTCAATCTTAGGGACAACACACCAGTAAACATAACATGCATGTTTTTAGTCTGGGAGGAAACCAGGGATACCAGATAAAACTCACACGTGCACAGCAAGAATATGCAAACGCCACACAGAAATCCTCCAGTCGGAAGGCAAACCTGCGACCCTCTTGCTGTGAAGCGACCGCTATGAACACTGCTCCAGCATGCTGTCTCAAGCACAATTCTCTTCCACAAACAACATTATCATAAAGTTCCTTTGATTGGGAAAAAATATATATTCTGCTGCATCTTTCTGTGAAGTGGGCACTGATGTCAGTTTAAATAGAAACTTATTAAAACAATAAATACGTACCAAACTTTTTTTTTAAAAAGCTACTTTGATTTAGTTATAGTAATTGCTGTTCCACTTAAATCTGTGACTGTTATCAGATTCATCCACTTAAAGTAAAGTTTTATTCTAGGCTTCTGTGATTTTAACTTGTAATATCCTAAATAATTTGAGATCAGAATCAGAATAAGCATTATTATCATTGCACCGAGATACAACGAGAACATGTACAGTACGTACAGTCATCCAAAAGATGGGCGAAGTGCACGAAGCTGCTACTATAGAAAGCGCGGCCCTCTTACTCTTATCCAGAATAATATTTTGCTTAGATGAGAAAAGGGAAGAAAACATGAGGAGAGACGATATAAAAAAAAAGATCTCTCACGCCGTGTCCTAGACAGAGCACGATTTGCATAAAAAAAAACCTACCACAGCAAAGCACATAAATAGACATGATACATGTACATATAGGCCGGTGAAGACATTGAATTTTTAAGGGAAAGTTGTAGCATAGTCCAGATAAGAGGTGTTATTCATCATCAGCTCGGTTGAGGTTCTGTCACATGTCCACAGCCTTGGGGGAAGGGAGGGGTGAGGAGACAGACAGATCAAGTCCTGATGCAGCATTTGTGCTTCCACGTGTCTAACAAGAAAGTTGATCTTTTATTGCACATACCCATAAACACAATATGCCACTGAACAGAAAAAAGCAAAAATACACCGCCTGGCCAAAAAAAAGTTGCCACCTGGATTTAACTAAGCAAATAAGCATGAGCCTCATTGGATCATTACTGCAAGGATGATTATCTTTCAGCTGGCAACAAGTTATTTAACCCCAACTGGTGCAATGAGTTGCTTCTCATTTCTTAAACAACCATGTCGAAAAACACATCGCATGGTTGTGGAAAAGATGTCCGTCTGTTTGAGAAGGGTCAAATCATTGGCATCAAGCAGAGAAAACATCTAAGGAGATTACAAAAACTACTAAAATTGGGTTAAGAACTGTCCAACGCATTATTAAAAACTGGAAGAATAGTGGGGACCCATCGTCTTCGAGGAAGAAATGTGGCCAGAAAAAAATCCTGAATGATCGTGATCAACCATCACTTAAACGTTTGGTGAAATCAAATTGAAGAAAACAACAATAGCACTCAGGGCTATGATTAATAATGAAAGTAAGAGCATTTCCACATGCACATTGTGAAGGGAACTCAAGGGACTGGGACTGAACAGCTGTGTAGCCTTAAGAAAACTACTAGTCAGTGAGGCTAACTGGAAAAAAATGGCTTCAGTTTGCTAGGGAGCATAAAGATTGGACTCTGGAGTAATGGAAGAAGGTAATGTGGTCTGATGAGTCCAGATTTACCCTGTTCCAGAGTGATGGGTGCATCAGGGTGAGAAGAGAAGAGAGGCAGGTGAAGTGATGCACCCTCATGCCTAGTGTCTAGTCATCAATGCAAGATCTAGGTGAAAAAATTACCGGGGAGTGCAACACTGGACGGAAATAGACCTTGTGACATTGCAGAAGCTTATTGAAACAATGTCACATATAATGCATGCTGTAACCAAAGCTAAAGGCGGTCCAACAAAATATTAGTGTTACTTTTTTTTTTTTGGTGGCAACTTTTTTTTTTTTTTTGGCCAGGCAGTGTATCAAATTTGCAATGCCCATATGCAGAACATCAGTATTGCAAAAAATTCAAGAGCTGCAGACCCAAATTGGAGGCAAAATAAATATAAGCTAGATGGTCAGATGGACCCCCACTCCTCTAAATGCTCACAACTGGTACATGAAGGAAGTCATGAACATGTACTTTCTATAGCTGATACTGTCAATGTATCATAAATTCAACATTAATATCACAATTGCACATTTTAATTCCCAATAAATCAACATTTCCAGTATTGTTAGCAAACAATTATCCTCAGGAGCCAGGCAGTAGCTATTTTTGTACTAGTGCCACCTCAATATGAAAAAAAAGATAAAATACAAGTTTTGTGAAAAAAGTTACAAACATACTGGTAGAATAAAATGACCAGTACTTACAACCATGAGAAGAAATTTAATATTATTTCTACTTGTTTGTCTTTCAGGTTTGAGCTTAAACCGTATCAGGTGATTGGTTTGAAGTGGCTGTTGCTCCTGCATGAACACAATCTGAGTGGTATCCTCGCAGATGAAATGGTAAGTCAACCATGCCAACATTTGTGGGATGCAAAACTACACTGACAATTGTGATTTTAAAATGGCATACCAACTTGTTATACACCAATAAAATGGCCAGCAGCTTGTTCATTTTGTCTTAAGGCCCTGTTTAAAATATGTTTATAAAACTGAAGGTTAATGAAACAAAGTTGTTTGTAGAGGGAGTCAAGTTCAGTCCAAAGTGTTTTAGGTCAAGATGACATCTGCATACATGCCCCCGAGTCCTGAGCTGCTGTCAGAGGCAGCTTTGTGTAACTTTTGCTTTGTTACCAAGGTCAATATACACAGTATTTGGCTCCAGCTTTGTTGTTTCTTTAGTTGTTTCATCATCATTTTTTTTATTTTTTTTTTTTTATTTTTTTATTTTTTTTTTCATTTAGCCTTTATTTATCCAGGTTAGTCTCATTGAGCCACGAGAACTCATTTTCAAGAGAGACCTGTTTAGGGAGCACATGGTGGGGGTTAAGGGCCTTGCTCATGGGCCCAGAGTGGGGCGAATGAGGGTGGGGGCAAGTGTGGGTGTTTCACCTACCCCACCCACAATTTTGATGTTGTCGGGGCCGGGGCGTGAACCGGCGATCTTCGGATCACAAGCCCACCTCTCTAACCTCTGCGCCACCACTCCCCTGATTGTCATTGTTCATCATTGTCAGGCAGTAATGATATTTGGACACAGTATTCAGTATTTAACCTGAATAAATCAGTCTTGTTTTCGTAGTCTTTCTCTGTCATATACTAGCTGCAACACTATTCACTAAGTCTTAAAAGTTTGGGCTTCTAAAGACTTCAAAAGCACTAAATAAAACTTTTGAGCAGTTTAACCTCTTTTAATTGTAAAGTTGCCTCAAGTCAGAATTGATTAAATACATTTCTTGCCTGCCAATGTGCCAGTATTAGTGTTTTGTGTACATTTATGCAGCCTCCTACAGGTGAGTTAACTAGTAGAGATTAAATGTGAAATAGATACATGACACAGCAGTGCTATTTATACCCTAAAGTGAGAATTTTGATTTATATTATTCTTTGAAACCATTGTGTTTTGATGTTATTATGGTAGCCTGTATTGTGAAAGATGACCACATATTTTTGTCCATCCACATGACTTTCACTTTATGTTTGTGTTTGATTTCTGATATTTCTCTTTACCTCCATTGTTTTTTATTTCACTCCTCAGGGTTTGGGAAAAACTATCCAGGCTATAGCATTTTTAGCTCAGCTGTTTGAAAATGACATACATGGTCCTCATCTTATTGTTGTGCCTGCCTCCACACTTGGTAAGGAGCTTGACATAAATACTTTGGCAATTTGCCTCATACTTTGTAGGATATTATGTTGTATGAGGTAGAACTAGCAGCATGTATTGTCTAGTTTTCAAGTGAGTTTCTTCATGGATTTGGTAAAACCACATCCGAAATGATTAATTTTCTTTTTATATTGTCACTTTCTTCATTCGTTAGATAACTGGGTTAGAGAGCTGAAGTCGTGGTGTCCAAGCCTTAAAGTCCTTGTTTATTATGGTAAAACTCAATCATTGTATTTTCAGAAAAAATGCCTTGTTTGCTTTTTTGTGCATTTTTTTGATTGATCAAAGTATTTATTAATTTATTTTTGGTTATTATGCTAACAATCTATGGGTTAATTGGACAGAACGTTTGCGTTTAAAATGATATCCTACTGTATGCCACCCTGTTTTACAGGCTCTGTTGAAGAGCGGCGCTACCTCAAACATGACATCCTCAACCAGGAAGTTGACTTCAATGTCATTGTCACCACGTAAGCAAACGTCTTAAACCTGTACAAAGTTTTACTCATTTCTACATCAGTCAAGTTAGTGCTGTTGGGGTTGGAGTGGACAGTGACCATGAAGCTGCATCTTATTTGAAGTTCTCTTGGCTTTGACAGGTATACCTTGGCCACAGGAAACGACAGTGACCGTAGCCTTTTCCGCAAGATGCATCTGGAGTACGCCGTGTTCGATGAAGGCCACATGTTGAAGAACATGAACACTCTGCGTTATCGTCACCTTATGGCTATTAATGTTAGTTGACTTATGTGCTGTTCAGTATATTTTACCTGCAGTGTAAGAAGACTGCAGATTACAGAACTAAGTTCAGTAGAAATATTTTTTTCTTATTATTGTTGGTGTTTTTCAATGCTTTACAAACTTAAAAGTGTTTCACATATCAGTGTAGATCCTTTTTGTTTATTTTAGGCTGAGCATCGCCTGCTGCTGACGGGAACTCCTTTACAGAACAACCTTCTGGAGCTGATGTCACTCTTGAACTTCATCATGCCCTCCATGTTCTCCAGTTCCACAATGCAGCTCTCCAAAATGTTTTCCATGGTAAGTTAAGTTTCTTTGGATATTTGTGTAACTTTACGCTGAATGGCACCAAATGTCTGTATTAGAGTTGATAAATGGCTCAGTGTTTTGCAACTTTTTGACTAAATTACAACCATTGAAGGCAAACTATCACTGAATTAGTTTGGAGAAAGGATAAAGTGTAAGTGACTTAATGAGCCTCAGAGACTGTAATTCAAGAGTTGATAATGGACTTTCATTAAAAAAAAAAAAAAAAGACAAATTTGTTAGGTTTTGCAAAGAAGCATTTGAACAAAGCACAAAATATACAAAGCATGTCCATAAAAGCATTACAACTAAAAGTATCAGAAACATGAATCTTGATTTTACTGAATTTTACTTTTTGTCATCAGAAATCTTATGAGGAACAAAGTCATTTTGAGAGGAATCGTATTTCTCAGGCCAAACTCATCATGAAACCATTTATCCTGCGACGTGTCAAAAGTGAGGTGAGTTGATCTTGAGAATCAAAAATCTTTTAAGTTAGCTCTTCTGTTCTTGTTTATTGCTTGCTTTTAAATTGTTTCAAATACCTAAAGCTGTGGTAAACTATACTTTTAGGAATGTAGACCAGTTAATTGTTCAAATTAAACAATCTTATAAAATTCATGCTTCAAAAATGCACAAAAAAAACCACACAACAAAATCAAATTTCTTGAATGTGTTGCTACAGCAGTGTTCTACTGAAGCACACAAACAAAACACTAGAGCCTTTTCTTGTTTATATGAAAACAGATGTAGAAAACGGTGTCCTCCTCCTTTTCCCAGGTCCTCAAGCAGCTGCCAGCTAAAGAAGAAAAAATAGAGTTCTGCTCCATGAGTGAGAAACAGAAGGCTCTCTATGAAGCACTCTTAAAAAAATTGAAAACTTCAGTTATTGGAGAGAGTAAGCCTCATTTCATTGGCTTTTCTGAACACTCCCTGTTGCCCAACATAATTCACAGCAAACATTTCTCATGCATTTTCCTCTTCAGAGCGTGAGCTGTGTAACGTTATGATGCAGCTGAGGAAGATGGCCAACCACCCTCTTCTTCATAGACAATACTACACCACAGAAAAGCTTGAAGCCATGAGCAAACTTATGCTTAAGGTCTGTTCGCTTTTGTTAATCTTTTTCTACATCATTAGTTTTGATCAGAGTGTTTACCATTAAAATGGCTATGCATTATACTGTTCACACGGTTATTATTAATTTTACTCTACTTTAATAGGATGGCACCTAAGCTCTGAAGTTTGTTTGTTTATCATAATTATATAATGTTCCATTTGAATTTTATTACTCACAAGCCTATTCATTCCTTTTGGAACATTTTGTTTCTTTTACTCATGTTAAATTTTTTATTTCATCTCTCTTTCTCCCTCCTCAGGAACCAACACACTTTGATGCCAATCCTGCCCTGATTCAAGAAGATATGGAAGTGATGTCAGACTTTGAGCTGCATCGTTTGTGTCGGCGATACGCCTCGATCAGCTCCTTCCAGCTTGATGACGGTCTTCTGCTGGACTCTGGGAAGTTTCACCACCTTAAAGAGCTGCTGACATCAATTAAAAGCCAGGTCAATATACACAGACCCTTTCCAAAAAATTAGAATATCATGGAAAAGTTGTTTAACTTCCATAATTCCATTCAAAAAGTTAATCGTTAATAGATGATAAATTCAGGGCCCACAATTTAAATGATTTTAAGTACTTATTTGTTTCTTTTTACATAATTTGGGCTTCCAGTTCATGAAATCCACAAAAACAGGAATTAAAAAAATTAGAATACTGTGGAGAAATCAGCCCAAATTTTGCAGGGCCTGAATGTTTTAAACTGAGTGTGACACACTAATCGTCTACTAAACTCAAAACACTTGCACAGGTTTCCCCATGTGTCATTAAATTGCTTCAGTTTGGTTCATTTGTCTCAGTTTGGTTCAATATGGGGAAGAATGCAGACAACAATTGGCCAGAAGACCATCATTGATACCCTCCATAGGATGGGTAAGCCACAAAAGTTCATAGCTAAGGAGGCTGGCTGTTCACAGAGTGCTGTGTCCAAGCATATCAATGGAAAGTCTAGTGGAAGGGTAAAATATGGCAGGAGAAGATGCACCAGCAAAAGAGATGACCGTGGGCTTCAGCAGTTTATCAAACAGAAGATTCAGACGCATCCAGTAGATGAGCTACAACTGTCGGGTTCCTCTGGTCAAGCCACTTCTGAACCTGAGCCAGTGTAGGAAGTTTCTCAACTGGGCCTTGGAGAAGAAGGGCTGGACTATTGGCCAGTGGTCCAAGGTTCTCCTCCGATGAAAGTAAAGTGTGCCTTTCATTTGGAAATCAAGGTCCAAGGGTTTGGAGGAAGAAGGGTGAGGAACAGAACCCATACTGCTCGAGGTCCAGTGTGAAATATCCACAGTCAGTCATGATTTGAGGTGCAATGTCTGGTGCAGGTGTTGGTAAACTCTGCTTTCTTAAATCCAAGGTCACTGCAACAGTCTACCAGAATGTTTTAGAGGACTTCATGATTCCTTCTGCTGAGGATCTGTATGGAGATGCAGATTTCATCTTCCAGCAGGACCTGGCCCCTGCCCATACAGCCAAAAGCACCAAAACCTGGTTTGATGCCCATGCCACAGTGCTTGACTGGCCAGCCAACTCGCTGGACCTAAATCCCATTGAGAGTCTATGGGGTATTCTCTAGAGGAAAATGAGGGGCACCAGACCCAACAACAAAGAAGAGCTGACGGCAAGCATCAAGGAAATTTGGGCTTCCATAACTTCCAGGCAATGCCACAGGCTGATTGCCTCAATGCCACGTCGCATTGAGACAGTGATTAAGGCAAAGGGATTCCCAACCAAGTATTGAAGATTGCCATGTTGTTTTGAAAGTACCATATTTTGATTGATTTGTTGTGATCCTAATTTCTTTCTTTTTTTTTTCTGCAAAAATGGAGAAGTAGTGTGGGCTGATTTCTCCACGGTATTCAAATTTTTGGAATTCCTGTTTTCATGGGTGTCATGAGCTGTGTAGGGTGATATGGGGCTGGATATATATTGTAAATTATCAGTTATGAGTTAAGCTCATAAGATATGCATTTATTATGCAAATAACCTCGTTGTGTGGGCACCACCTCTCTTTGAGAGGAAAAGTCAAGAAAAGTCTCTATTTAACCCCAATTAATGTAAACTGAAACGTGAGTTCTTTCTCGTGATTAAAGGGCATCAAATCAGTTAATTCACACAGATATGTCAAAATAAATCACAAATTCAGTTGATTTTATGTTTTGTATTATAAAAATAATAATCTGATATTTGATGAAAATTATGCATGACAAATTTAAATGAATAACATAGCTTTGTATCAAAGGTCTAATTGATTATTCAAATCAGTGAAACTTAAAAGGCAGATTTTGGACTGGTTGCTGTTTGTGAAGTAGTTAAAATTGTGTCTAAGGTGAGCAGTAGTTTGTCTGATAAGATTATTGTGATGTAAGGTCACCAGAAAGGCATTGAAGAGTCTTTGTTACCAGAATGAGATGGTCAGGAATGGTCCAACAGCTGCTTAAAAATGGTACCAGCCCAGATGTTCCATTTACTGAGAGGCTGAAATCTCCTTAAAGTTCACCTCTCATCTTAGAAGGATGAGGGTCTATATGGGAGTCGGCTGGGATTTACCACTCCTGCGGTGTGATGGTTCTGGTTCGTTCTGTGTCTTTCTCTTGTCCTGAGACGTCTGCAGAAAGGATGCTTCTCTCCTCTCTGAGTCCAGTGCAGAAACTGGGTTTCTTCTCTCCAGTTCTCTTGTGCAGAAGCGTGTTTCTCTGGAGTTTTCTCTCCAAAACTCCCGTGAAGTCTTCTGAGACGGAGCCTCAGTGAATTGTGTAGTAGAAGTTGTAAAAGTAGATGTGCTTGTGAAAAAGTAGTGCCAGAAGTGAAACTTAACTGTCTGTGTTTTTAGAGCTGAAGGTCCACCTCTCGGAGAGGGATGGGCCTAACTCTTGGCGTTGTTAAATAAAATCTCAAGTCCATTTTTCTCTCTGACTTAAAAATTTTTCCTTTTTAAAAGAGAAAATAAGACTGTTTTATCTTGAAGAAAGATGACTTAAAACACACATTTTCATGAATAAACATTCAGGTATAAAATAAAACAGAAATTATATTTTGGAATTAATAACATGCAATGTTTCACCAAAAGGTGTCGCTGTCCATCTTCTGAAAAGAGAATGTCATTAAACAAAGGGATTCTTATGGTGTTATTTTCATGGGAACCCATCCTGGGAGTAATACTCCTTTTTTCATAAAAGTAAAATCAACGTAGCAAGTTCGGATGTTCCTAAGCTTCGAGGTCAGTTGAACCAAAACTCTTTAAAACAATCTGTCCGTTCCATGTGAAATGAGTTCATATTGGCAGTGAAGTTAAAACAGTGACAGTTTTTGTATTATGACATTAGTGTCAACTGAGAAGTTTGTGAGCTGAGTTGAACATCTGCAAAAATAATGTCTGTTTGTTCCCAAGGGGATAGATTAATCTTACTTTTAACAGTTTCAAACACAAAAACACATGAATGATGTCTGTTTGAGATGAGGTGTTCTTTTCTGAGGTGGTGAACTGTTTCTGAGGTGGTGTTCCCCTACAGCTGGAAGGCCAAATTATGTAAAAATAAACAAATAAATACTTGAAATTGTTTAAATTGTGCGCCCTGAATCTATCATCTATTAAAGATTAACTTTTCGAATGGAATTATGGAAGTTAAACAACTTTTCCATGATATTCAAATTTTTTTGGAAAGTGTCTGTATATGTGCTAAACTTTTCTGTGGTGCATGTAAAAATGTAAATATAATTTTTATTTACACAAATAGGAGATTTTAACTCTTATCTTTCCACAGGGAGACCGGGTGGTGTTATTCAGTCAGTTTACCATGATGCTGGACATTGTGGAAGTGCTGCTAAAACATCTTGAGTATCGTTACATCAGACTTGATGGATCCACACCTATAGCTGAGAGGTCAGGTTTTGGTCAGAATTAAATCCTGAAAACTAAACTGAGGAAAAACAACATCAGAGTTTGCTGTGCAATGTGCACTAAAATGTAATGGTTGCAGTTTTTTATTTTTATTTTTTTCCTGTAGGATTGTGCTGATTGATGAGTACAACACAGACCCTGAGATACTGGTGTTTCTGATATCGACCCGTGCTGGTGGGCTCGGTATCAACCTAACCTCGGCAAATGTAGTCATTCTGCATGACATCGACTACAATCCTTACAACGACAAGCAGGCCGAGGATAGATGCCATCGTGTGGGCCAGACCAGGTCTGAACGAAATTAATTTTCTCTTCTACAAATTATTTTCATGATCACAGTTGGGTGGAAAACTGTGATCATGAAGTTTTATAGTGCCATGTGATGGGACTCAAAATTAGTGTTGAATTCAATTACAAGATCACATTGAATAAAAAGATCCTTCTTAAAACAGTTCATTTTTTATGGATTGGATTTAGTCTGTAACGTATCTCCCTGTATGTGCCAGAACTGTGCAGGTGATCAAGCTGATCAGTAAGGACAGCATAGAGGACTGCATCCTGCAGCTCGGCCACAGAAAACTAAAGCTAGAACAAGACATGACTGCTGCTGAACAAGGTAAGAAAACGTGTGCACATACAAGCAGTAACGTTTATTCATTTCTTTTGTTCACTAGTGTTTGGAATGAATACATTAACGAGATTAGACTTTACTTTTCAGAAACAAATTTTAGATTAAATTTGTTTTTTTGATTTTGTGTTGGAGATTATGGCTCAATGGGGCCACAACACATTTCTTGACAGTCTGCTTTTTGTTTGTAAACATTTTCTTAAAGCACATGCAAAGTGTGATCATTTCTTGTATCACAAACCCGTCAAAAGACTCTTATCACCAGTTTGTCATCAGACAAAAGTTTTGTATAGAAATTTTTTAAATAAAAAAGCATGGCATGCTAAATCAAAATATTAAAATACAAATAAAAGCTCAGAGTTGTTTTAAAGCCATTAGGTTAATCACTGTTTAATAAATTGTGTTTTTAGGTGATGAGAGCACCATACCTGAAGATATGGCATCATTGCTTAAAGCCTCTCTGGGACTGTGATACACCAGCACATCTACCTTGATACTGAATAAATGTTTTTGATGATCCATTCTTGTGACTGTAGGCAGTCTACTACAAACCTGTAGTACAGTAAATGTGCCTAAAACACAATTTTTACCTGTGCACAAACTAAACATGATTGCCAAGTATTATACACACCATCTTATTTGCAGTTCACAAGCTGCACTGAAATCCTTTATGTTCACATAGTTTTCGTTCTTTATTATAGACACAAACAAAGTCACTGTTCTATCAAACATAAACTAATGCCCTTTTTGGCAGAGGAATTAAATCCTGGAAAGTAATTATTCAAACCTTGAACGTGGATGCTAAAAAATACTGCTAACCCATTGGATTCCCTTCATTAATAAGTTTTTAAAAGTTGGAAATGTTTTATAAGTCTCTTGGATATTTGGAGTCTTTGACACTTTAAGTTTTGGGTTTTGTTCTGATGTCAAATGAATTTATCAACAAACATTTGACTTCTCCAGTTATCCACATGGTTGTTGATGTATTTGAATGTCATAGCTGTGATCAGTAAGTGTACATGTTTTTTCTACAAGTTTTCTTTTTTCTCCAACTACTTTGTATGTTTTCATTAGCAGGTTCGGGTACCTTGAACCTGTGACTGAAGTTGCAAAATAAAACGTTAATAAAGTTTTAGTCCAGTTTCATTGCATAAAATTAGAATATTTTACCGATTATTACTCATTCATTCATTCAACCTTTATTTAGACAGCTTAATCCCATTGAGCCTCGAGGACTCATTTACAAGAGAGACCTGACAAAGAGTGATGACAGTAGTGACAGTAGGAGCAGCTCTGGAAATAAATTCTCCATAAATCAGTTGGTGAACTTCAGTGTAGTCAATGTGGTTGTTTTTTCTTGGAATGAACAGCTGTTCTGATGTCAACATCTACATCATGTAGTCATGCTGTTCATCAGTTTGTTGAACATCTGATCAAAGACCTTTCACAGTTAACTTTCATATTTGGTTAAAGAATAAACTATCTGGCCACAACAATATTTTCAAAGCCGTTTAGCTTCTGACCAACAAAGTAACAGTATCAAAGACTGGTCTGAGTTATTTCTGCTTGAAATGACTTAAGTTCATGGTTCAGTCAATCAAAAACTTCAGACACACATGGTCCATAATAGACAAAAACAGGCAAAAAAAAAAAGATTAATTTGAAACTAGACAAAATGATTTCTAAACCTTTTTGTAAACAAAGTACTGTATTTGCCAGCGTATAAGTTGAACCTTTTTGCATAAATTTGCAAGTCCTGCGACTTATACACCGAAGCGACTAATATACGTTTTTTCTCTATATTTATAACCAATTTTTTTGGCTGAGATTTGACGATTTCATTCATTCTGACATGAAAAATATTAAACATTACCATTTGCAGCCACTAGAGGGCCTTCGAGTAGTATAGTAAGCCAAGTGTCTCATTAATTCATTCAACCTTTATTTAGACAGGTAAATCCCATTAATAGCCATTTTTACCTATTAATGAGACAATAAGCCAAGTGTCTCATTAATAGGTAAAAGTGGCTATTAATGAGACACTTTGCTTGCCATACCGAGCCACCTTCGTCTCGCTCCGGAACACCTGGAGCAAACGTCAAATCAGCTGCATTTCACCGCACTGCCTAGGCGAAATGCAGCTGATTTGACCATTAAAGTGCATTTATGAAGGACAAGTTCAACTGAGACACCTTTGCTAGAATTTCAAGCAAACAAAATTGTTTTTAGATGGTTATCTTGTTAAAATTTGAAGAAATGCACAGCGAGTCCTCCCTCTGAGCGCTCCTGCAGCCACAAATTGTCTTTTGAAATGCAGCTGATTTGACTGTCACCAATACAGTGTCTGCATCACTGGCCTCTGCTCATCAGTCTCCTGAACTGTTCAAATCCCACTTGTGAACCATCCCTGAAACTCTTGAACTCCTCCACAAATCTTGATCTCATCTGTTTCATAGACTGTTGCAAATCAACTCTACTGCCTCCTGAAGGTACCCACTCAGTGCATTGCTGTATCTTAATGTGACTATGAGCCAAACTTCCCTCTCCAATAACCTGGCACAGACTTTCCCAGTAAGGCTGTGTTTCTGAGCAAATACTCTGGTCCAACTTAAAAAAAACCACAAAAACACTGCCCTCCACTACCCACAACAGGCATGTGGTTTCAACTGCAAGATGCTTTAGTTGAATTTGACTAAGATCTATACTTGATCTGTTCTGTTGTCACAAAACACTCAACCAGTTAACTAGTCCCTGTCCTCACCCAGGATGACAGAGTAAACTAGTCCAGTCCCCTTACAAGACTTTGATTCCTATGTCCTTCTTGAGCATCAAGATGGTCTCTGCAATATTTACCCCGTTTTTTTAAACATCCCACACAAGCTTGGGTTTCTAATCCAGCTTGACCATAAAACTGTTCCATCAGCTGGGATTAGTCCACTGTCACTGCATCACTTGTTGACCAATCCACAGTGCGCTACTTTCTTGTAGCACTTCCTGCAAGTGGTTAGTCCTAAAGAGATAACTAATTGTGCCATCAACAAACTTTATACAACATGCAGACATGAAAGCCATTTACAGTAACCATTTATCAACGTTGACAGCACTGATTTCCGAAAGTCCCTTTCAGGATTTTACAATCGTGTAATATATATAGTATAAAGTCAATTCCCACGCTGCACAACAACAAAAGCCAAACAACCATAATTTACTCAATTCAGTTGTGCATGTTTTATTAAAGTGGTTTAAAGATATGATTTTTATTGCATAGAGTGTACAAGAAAAAAAAAAGACGTCGTAAGCAGAGGTCACAAAAATTAACCAGTTTGTTACAAGCAAACAAAACTGTGATCTAGGATTTTAAAAAACACACATTTCCATTAGACTGCAAAAAGTTTATTCTGCTTGTTAATTAAAATACAATAAAGATTGTCTCTAAATAAAATGATAGTAAATTATTGAACTCTGAAGTTCTTTTCAAAGGAGATTGAGTTAGAATTTTTTTTATCGTTATTGGAACACAATAGATTGAGATGAGATGCGTTAAAGATTTCTCATAAAAATAAACAGTCTTGCTGATACAATGTTGTGGAGTTTTTTAAATTTTCTTGTGTGAAGCATCACATGACTTCATTTCTTGGAAATCCCGGCGAATTTCTAAGTCGCCACCCAGTCTTGTGTGCAGTGCTTTCATGGAAAGGTTGGTGGAAACCACATTGTCTGAACGAGTTGGACGAGTGGCTGAACATAACTGAGGCAAAGATTCAAAGAAAAAGAAGAGCATGTGAAATTTCACTGTTATCTTCACGATTACTTTTTTTATTAATGGGGACTGGGCGACTGAATGTAAAGCTTAAAGCAAAGTTCTCACTCCTTGTATGCAAGTATAACATGAACAGGAAAGTAGTGGAAGATGATTTACACTGAATATACTTCACATTATGAAATTAGATTTACCGATAATTGCCCTATTTTTGCAGAAAGTTAATTTACTGATTTGTCGGTAACTATGCACAAAACCAGATATAGAAATTAATGCTATCAAAGATATTTCTTCCAGGTTCTAGACCAAGCTAACACAAAACATGTTTATGACCCTAACGTCCAACAAACAAGATATGATAACCTATACAAGGATGTTATATCACTTGTGAATGTAACTGCTTAATTAACAAAACATCACACAAAGAACTAAAGAGAAAATTATTGTGGGACAAATCTAAAAAGTTTATTTTATTTAAAATCATCAAGAGCTCCCACACTGGAACATTATTTTATACGTACGTATGTACATTACAAAACGCTTATACAGAAAACATCTGACATCTATCTTTTAAGATCATTTTGATGCATTTTATGCGAAATGAATGTAAAATATTAAAGGTAAGATTTACAGTTTACAAGTATTTTTTTGAAAAAATGTGAAACAACTAAAAGTTTGAACTTATTGTAATGACAGTTTACTCAGCATTTGGAGAGTATCGTCCACATCTGAACCCTGTCAAATGAGCATCACATGTAATAAAGTAGGTGAAATAGAGAACTCCTTTTCGGAGCTGACAGCTTAAGGAATGAGTTCCCCTTTCAGGATAGACGACACATATCCCTGCCATGTCGTTATAAAGCACATCCCTATCCCAGACTTCAAACCTCAACTCTCGGCCCATCTCCACTGAGCCAAAATCATACGTGGCGTTCCACACTGGGTCATTGTTGTCCATCACGGTCTCCGTCTCCTCATACATCCCACCGTAGAAGATTTTCACATATGCATCTGTTTTTGTGAAGGTGTCGGCCCTCAGCCCTGCAGCTTTGTGGATTTCCAGTTTTAGAGTTCCTCTGCCGGCTCTTAAAGGACAGCAGTTATGGTCCAGGTTGGAAGTCGGGGAACAGTTTTTCAGACTGCGCTGCTCCTCTTTCAGCTGGTTCTCTTGTATATACTCTGTGACCACGCTCCTCAGGTTAGCACTGATCTGTGTGTCCTCCACCAGATGATGCAGAGGGAAGATGGCGTAAGAAACCACATCAGGGTTGTCATGGAGACTGTTTATCCAACTGTGGTAGGCTTCCAATGGGTCTTGCTGGTAAAGGATGTCAGGGAAATATCGCTCCCCTCCAATTACCTCAATCTTATGTGTCATAAAGCCCTGATAGAAGCCCATGCTCATGTTGCCCTTCAGGAGGTTGTCACACTTGTTGGAGAAAGATGCATTGGAAGGGAGAAAACCCAGAGCCATACGGAGTTCAAGGTTAAGACAGTTTTTAATCTCGGACTCTGAGAAGCCCTTCAGTGTGGCCAGGCAGGTCCTGAAGGCAGTGATTCGCTTTACTTTACCTCCGAGCTGGACCTAGGAGACAACACAACAGAGACTTAAAACTCTGAAGAATGTCTTCAGCTTTGTTTTATTTTGTCTTGTGTATCCAGCTGGTTTTTCTGACCTGGTGTATATAATGTGTCCCGTAAGTGTCTATGAGCCGCCTGTACAGGGCTCTGTTCTGGACCGTGTTCAAACTCTGTGGGAGCCTTTTTAGATGCTTTGTGAACTCCGCACTCAGCTGTGGATGATCAGCCAGCCTGTAGCTACAAAAACAAAAGGCGTATTGAATTTAGCTAGAACAAAATGACTGGACAACTTCTTTTTTTTTTTTATGCAACAAAAGCCACAATCTGCTGCAAATAAAAATAAATGTGTTAAAAATTTGGCAAGCTTGTAGACTTCACTAAAAACCTTATCAGGGCACATCTTATTCCTTCATAATCTAATTTCTGTGAAGTCCAAAGTTATTAAGCTGATGTACTTGCAACAATGTTCCTTTTGTTTCTAAAGTAATTTTGAAATATTTTTGAGCTGATAGCTTAAACAAATTATGTCAGCCTGTAAATGGATATCATCTTTCAAAATGTAATAATGCATACTGTGCTAATGTTATTGTGCTGCAATTCTGCCTTGTTTATAAAGAATCCCTCCATTCATCCACAACGTTACCTATAGTAAGAGCAACTGATTTCATGAATGGCAAAAGTAGCTTTGTCCACACTGTGCTGCGAGCGAGCAAACTTGGCCAAGTCTGAGCGGCTTCCTCCTAGCACGGCCTGGCCGATGTTGTTAAGGTTCAAGCCCAAACCCCAGTTGTTGTTGACCAGCGAGTTGGAGCTGCGCAGCAGAGAGTCCACAGAGTGGTGTAGCGCACTAGACAGCTGTTTGCTGCAGCGGCTTAAAGGACGCCAGTCGAGCACTGCAGCTGGGAGTTTCTGAATCTGAGGGGGAGAAGGCAGAGATGTTACAGTTAGAGGAGAAGTGCAGGGTCAAAGCAAAAAAAAAAAAATAATGGTTTCCATTAAATAAACAGAAAGGAATTCAGGGTAAAGTGACGCTCCTATGAGAAGAGGAGTAAGAAAGAGATCAAGCAGCTGGTTTTACCTGTCCGTTCTGGAATCTGTTTGGACACAGTGTACAGGTATGGTTGTCGCCCAGATGAGATTTGACATTGATCACATATGCTCCTGTTCGACGCAGTCGCACCACGTCAAACCCTTCCCCAGCCAGGTTGTGGCCTGGGACAAAAGGAGCTTTCTCACACTCTGAACCAGTGCCAATTCGACAGCCCAGTACCCCATGGACCACTGGGGAAACTAGAAATGTCACTATAAACAGGACAACATTTCTCTGCTGGTATCCTGCTGCTTCCATGGCAACCTAAATGTAACACAATTCACACAAAACAGATCAAAATTAAACATGTTTTTTCCTGTATAGCAACTCACAAAGTATTTAGCTTTAAATGTGTTAGACTTTAGTTTCAAATTAGCTTTGTCTTTGTGAACCACAGTAATTGGGTCATGGCAAAGCTAAAAACATGCGCAAGTAGAGAACTTTTACCTCTTTCCTCTGCCTTTTGTCCTCGAGATGTCCTCTCCACAGCCTTTCAAGCAGTTGTTTTCCTGTATTTTCTCCCGGTCTTGGATTTAAATCCTTCTGTTTACATTGCCCATAAATGGTACAGCTGGCTGTAAAACGAAGAAGGTGAAAACGGACTGAAGTCTTGATCCAGATGGGAATTAATTCACATCTAAAAGAGCTTTAGCATGCTGGGCTGTGCTGAAAGCCTGCAGTGTGCTCTCTTTAGTTTGTCCTCTGCTTTTTGAAAATGAGGGAGTTTTCTTGTTTTGGAGCTGTGTGTGCAGCGCTCTCGCCCTTCCCTTGTCTGTCTCTGATTCCCTACGGCATTTTTAATTTTCTCTGCACGAGTGGGTTTGCTTTAAATCTCGAGACCCAGTTCCATAAATCCCACACAACCCTTGATGTGTGTTTGCACGTGCATGTGTGGGGGAGGGAGATTGTTGTGGTCACAAAAGATGATCTGAGCTCTCTTTATGGGAAATGTGTGTCTGAGTGTGCAGATGCTTGTGTGTGTGCTCCATGTGCATCTCTGTCAGACTGAATGTGTGCTTGGCTTTATGTCTGAGGTGGCCTTGCTCTACTGATAGCTTCACAAAAATCCTGAGGTCAGCTTTGCCATTGTTTCTTTATGGATGTAAGTGCGATGTGTGGTTTTCAATGTGGTCAAGGAAGATAAGTGTGTATCTTTTCTGTGTGCAAAAGTTTTCTTTTATCTACAGATACATGCCCATGAAGCGTGAATGCTTATTTGTTTCATTTGTCACTAGGGGCTGTGGTAGCTCTGTGGTTCAGTGCTGCAACTTTGTAATCCTGGAGTTACCAGTTTGAGTCCAGGTTGCATCAAGGCCATCCAGCATAAAACAATTACCAAATCTTTCACTTGCTGTGGTGACCCCTGCAGAAGGTCAGTCGGAGATTCTTTATTGTCGTTCGCACCACATGTGGTACATGTGGTAGAACAAAATTATGTACACAGGGTCCCAGTTACATCCAACAATAAAATGTAAAAGAAAAACAATAATAACATCTAAGATATGAGCTAAGAATAACATCAACTAAAAATACACTAAGCACTAATGGCATAAAAATATTACGTCCAACAGCAGCACGGACATGAGCATGAGTCTGTGTGAGCAGATGAGCACGCATGAACACATCAACATGAAACAGATCAGCAGCAACATTGAAACAGATCAGCAGCAACATGATGTGATTTTTTTCACAGTGATTAGTCTGGTTAGATATTCATGAGTCTAACAGCCTCAGGGTAGAAGCTGTTCCTCAGTCTAGTGGTTCTACACTTAATGCTCCTCAACCTCCTTCCTGAGGGGAGTGGGGCAAAAAGTGTGTGTACTGGGTGAGTGGGGTCCTTCATGATGCAGGTGGCCCTCTTCCTGCATCTGGAGGTGTAGATGTCTGATGGTGGGGAGACTGACTCCAACAGTCTTCTGTGCAGCCTCCACCACTCTCTGCAAAGCTTTTCTTTCTGCAGCTGTGCAGCCTCCATGCCACACGTTGATGCTGGAGCACAGGATGCTCTCCACTGCACACCTGTAGAAGGAGGTGAGGACTGAGCTTCCCAGACCAGCTCGTCTCAGCCGCCTGAGGAAGTAGAGTCTCTGATGAGCTTTCTTGATCAGGCTGGTGGTGTTGTTGCTCCAGCTGAGGTTGTCATTCATGTGTACACTCAAGTACTTGTAGCTGGAGACCACTTCCACCGCAGATCCTTTTATGTTCAGGGGGGTGTAGGTGTGTTTGTTCCTTCTGAAGTCCACAATCATCTCCTTTGTCTTCTTCACATTGATGTGAAGGTTATTCTCTTTGCACCAGCTCTCCAGGTGTTCCACCTCCTGCCTGTAGCTGGACTCATCATTGTTTGTGATGCATCCCACCACCGCTGTATCATCTGCAAACTTTACAATGTGACAGCCAGGATGGGTAGCAGCACAATCATATGTGAGCAGAGTCAACAGGAGGGGGCTCAACACACATCCCTGAGGATAGCCAGTGCTGAGGGTTATGGTGGAGGAGGAGAAGTTGTGGATCCTCACTGACTGTGGCCTCTTTAAGAAGTCTAGTACCCAGTTGCAAATGGAGGGGCTTAGTCCTAGTGTGAATAGTTTGTCCATCAGGGTTTGGGGGATCATGGTGTTGAAGGCGGATGTGAAGTCCACAAAAAGCATACGGACGTAAGAGTCTTTCTGCTCCAGGTGGTTGAGTGCAGTGTGGACCACAGAGGAGATGGCATCCTCTGTTGATCGGTTCTCACGGTATGCATACTGATGTTTTGATGTGAGTCATGACCATTTTTTCGAAGCATTTGGCAACTATCGGGGTGAGGGCCACTGGCCGATAGTCCTTCAGACCAGTCACTGTAGAGCTGGTGCAGCTGAAAGAAACATTTACTGTCTCTGATGACATTTGAGGCCTCTATGACCTGTCTAGTGTCCACTGCCTCTCACACAATGACTTACTTAAATGGAAAAGCAGGTAAGAAGAATTAATGGATGGAAGGTTTTCTTTGACCTTTGGTTTCTGCATATTTACAAATTCCATATTGTACTAGGATTCATTAAAAAAAAGTTTTCCAATATGTTTCACTCTTGTTTACAACAAAACAAAGTTTAGTTTAGTTTGGTCTTGCTTAAATAGGTCGGTCGGTCGGTTGTTCGGTCTGTTTGGATCCTTCTGTCTGTCTGGATCTGTCTTTTTGTCTGGATTTGTCTGTCAGTTATTTATTATTATTATTATTATTGTTGTTGTTTTTTTGCATCTGTCAGGCAAAAGTCAAAAAGAGAGAGTATAAAGAGGATATATACAATATGGATGCAGTTTGTGGTTTTACAAGAAAAAGCCATTTTATTTAATTTATTTATTTTCAAAAGACACATTTTCTAGGCATCTTGCGCAACACATTTTTATCTTTCTCAAACCTAGAATTTTTGTACAAAGGAGTCGAACACAGTCAAATTTGTATTTATGTCCTGTAAGTTTATTTACAGAACATAATTTACAACTTCTGTTCTTGTGGTCCACAGAATAAATTTCTGGCAGGAATGCTGTTTTGCAGGTTATTGCAGTTTGCCACCACAGCAGCTTTTTATATAAAGGAATGCTTCTCCCACAGGCAAATCTACTGTACTGTGTGTTTAACAGGCGAGTGTTGTGAAATCTTTTGTTTCCTTTTGTCTCCAGAAATGTGTCAAAATCAAACTTTCTGTATGATAAAAGTAAAACTTCAAACTTGGAGCTAGATGTGACAAAGATGAACACACTTTAAGTTTTGTAAGAATAGACAAAAACATCCGCAGTTCATAGCTACATCCATAATTTACATCTTGTGGGTGTTTAACATCTTTCTGATGTTAAATTTCATAGAGATTTTAAAGTTTTACATAATAACACAACACACAAGTGCAATATAAAAAGGAGAAAAATAGTTTTTTTTAAACTTTTGTTAAATCAAAGTTTGGTCTCATTAATTATTTCTTTTGTATAATATAAAAAGTAAACTATTTTTTATTCATTCATATTTTTTCTTTCAACTTTTATTTATACAGGTTAGTCTCATTGAGCCTCGAGGATTCATTTACAAGAGAGACCTGTTTTAAACAAAGGACACAGATGAGGAACACACAACAATAGACAATCATGTAAAAAGCATATAAAATGTAAAGTAAATAGAATAAATGATACAAAAACAAAACAAAAACAGCTGCATTATAAAGCAATGTAAAACACTAAAAACAGGAACATGTCTGCATTGGTTTTTGCTATGAACTTAACAGTGGTTTAAAATCCCTTAGAGAGGTCAAGGTCAGCAGCTTCAGCTTTTATGCATAGTTCATGAATAAAGTAATATCGTAACTGTGTACTAAATATGTAAATATAATATATGTTATACAAATAGAAATATATAATGCATGTGTGTGGGAGTTTTCTCCAGGAAGTTCATACAGTATTGTGCAAAGCATGCAGTTATTAGACTTGTGAACAGTAAATGAACAACATGAGAATGTACATTTGAACCACATGAGGGAAGCAGTGGTTCATGTGAAAAATTTAAAAATCATTTCTGTTTGTTGCATTAACCATTTGCATTTTTAAGGGCAAAATACACAAAATGTCAGTATGGCATCAGATGCTAAGCTTGTGAGAATGTAAAGCAATGTTGATTATACAAAAAAAAAAAAAAATGAATACAATGATTCACAACACAAGCCTTAAAAGTTAAAAAAAAAAAAAAAATCTCAAGAATCAAAGGTTAGGCAGTCAACAAGACAGAAAAACAGTAAGCCCATTGATAAATTGTTAATGATAAAGCTGTTTGCTGTTTGAATGTGATGCGTATGGATCTCCTGTTCTCAGGCTTCTTCTTGCTGGGTTTCTCTCTCACTATCCTCACGTATTTCCACATAGCCACTTGGCCTAAATCTGGAGCTCCTCCTTTTAACCAGGATCACTGCTAAAATGACCACCAGTACCATCAACCCAATCACACCAAATGCTACACCTGCTTTTTCCCCACTTGACATTTGATTCAATTCTGGGTTGAAATTTAGAACAAGTTGCTTAATTTCTTCTGGTTTGGCAAGTTTCCATGCTTTAGTCTGCCCCATTCGGACCCAGCTGTTTTCTCCTTCAGTCAGCACCATCACTGTGTTAGTGGCCTGCATGTTAATAAGAGGGGAATTAGTAAACGGAGGGAGGTGGATTGGAAGGAGCTCGCCCCCTGTGAACAATCCAGATTGAACACAGTAAAGAATTTCACAGCCGTCACTAACTGTAGCAAGGTGCTGACTGAACTTTGGAGGGCATCTTTTTTGGTTCTTAGCCAGTGGGTTGCCAGACTCACAGCTAAAAAGACCTCCAAACAGTACTGAGCTTCTGCTGCCAACCTCATAGTCCTTACTCACACAGATCATTTGACCATCTGATAGGAACTTCACTGGAATGAAGTCTGATGGACAGCTTTTTGCTTTGGTGATGGGGTTCAAGAGAGAGGGGCTGTAGATGCCTCCAAACAGATAGCCTGAATTATCAGGAGCTTTTCCATTCACGGAGCACCAGAAGGTGTTGATACGAGCTGAGCGAACATGATATGTGTTTTGACAATTTTGTCTGTGACATCTGAATAGTCCGAAGACGCCACATGAGTATTTTTCAGTGTGGCAGTCATATGTACTGTAACTCTCCTGTCTCACTTCTGACCTCAGTAAAGTTGGGGAGTAAGGTGCACGACAGGAGAAGTCACCGGTGTCTAGATTTTTCTGGGCCAGTGCATCACAAAGTGGATCTGCATCTGCGGTGAGCTTGACACACTCTTGGTAGATGCCACCAAAACTAAGGTTTGTGGCTGGTCCCTCACAGGAATTGTCATCAACGTTGGCCTGAAAGTTGAAATTCTTTGAACTGACATCAACACACCCAGGACGAGTGTTGATCTTGTAGTACCTATCTATAGCCTTGTTCACACTAAGAGACACTTTGCCTACAGTAGGTTCTGGCAAATCAGGGATTGTGTTTTTGTTTATAAAGTAGTGGAGGGGAAATCCTGAACGGTCGATAGCAACCAGATTATTTCTGGTACTTTCTTGCCACTTCTGTAAAGTGATGCCAGGATAAAAAGGTAAGCCTCCATGACTTTGAATGAGTGAATACTGAATGTTGGACTGATATGTCTGAAGTGATGAGCTCTGCTGAGTATTTTGACTGCTTATGTCAAATTTGATTTTGTCAAAAAAGTTTAGTCCAGCTTGTGCCTTAACGGTTGAACTGTCTGAGGCACTGTCTGACACATATGAAGAACTAAGGTAGTCTTCCTGCACCAAAGAAGCCCCAGCATCGACACTAGTGATGACATGAGTTCCGTAATCCAGAACCATCTTCTCCGAGAGATACTCTGCGTTCCTCGTCTGATTGTTTTCAATGGCATCAGCAATATCTTTAGCTTGTTGTGCAAATCGTGAATCCAGTGTGAAGTCTGGGTAGGCCTTAACCGTGTAGAGGAAGTTACGGACCTTTAGAAAGAAGGAATCATAATCAATATGTTTTAAGTCATATTGTACTATATTGCACTGTATGTAAAATGTTAGTTTAATAAAACAATCTAAATCAGTCTTGGTTTATTCAGGCACATTTTTAACTGCATTGAAAAAAAGTCAAAATTAGTGTTTAAGGTCAATCTTTTTTTATCAGCTAAATTATAAGCGATGTTAAAGTATACATTGAGACACAAAATACTAATCTACAATTAAGAAATGGAGGGAAAATAACTTACCTGCACTCTTGCTGTTTTTGAAGAGTCTTTGACCTGATGAGATTTCATTCTCGTGTTCTCGGCAGAAAATTTGGCATTCAGCACTGAGTAGAAGGAAATATCTGCATTTATGGAGTAAGAAGTGGTGCTTTTCTGCTCCAGCCAGGAGTCGATTATCTCTGAGTTGGTCTCTACTCCAGTCTGCTTCTGAGGGATGACAAACACTTCATCTGGAATGAGGTAGAGCCCATCTTCAGTGGTTTGACACTGGAAGTAGCTGAGGTTCATGACTCGACCCACGTCCACGTTCCGGAGATTGTCCCAGCCTCCACCTGGCAGCACTTCCAGTGCTGTGATGGAGAGGTTGGTGGATGCTCTGCATTGTCTGAGCCAGTTGGAGGGTCGGCTCAGAGGAGCTGAAGAGCAGGTTTGAATGAAAGAAAGAGCAACCAGGAGTGTCTGCGCTGTCTTCATCATGACTGACAGAAATAAGGTCTAGGTCGATTCAATATAAAATCCAAAGCCAGTTCTGCTTCCTCTTATGTTAAATATCATGTGACTAACGGGAACATGTTTGCAAACCTCCAAAACGAGGAGGTGGTTGACTTTCACTTGTGTTTCGGCTTGTCAGTTTGTTGCTTCTCATGCACAAAAGACACTCCCTCTGCTCATATAGCATTAAACAAAATTATTTAATACCTAATCTGTTTTGTAAAATAATCTTCTGTTGTGGGTTTTTTATATATTTTACAGCTTCTGTGCATTAAAACGTTAATTTGATCATCATCAACTTTATAAAGCACTTTAACACCAAACACAGCAGAAACAAAGTGCTGAGCATCAGTAATAAATAACATAAAAGAAAGCATAAAAATAAAGCGACAAAGCTTTAAGCACACAATAATGAATTAAAAACTCAATTCAAAACACAATAAAATGTCAAGTTAAACAAATAAAATCAATACCAATAAAAATTAAGTAACATCAAGTCTCAGTTGGGTTGAAGGCCAATGAGCAGATACGTTTTCAAACAGGTTTTAAAAATGGAAAGTGAAGGGGCCTGTTGAACATGCAAAGGCAAAGTGTTCCATAACTTGGGGGCACTAACAGAAGGCACTGTCTCCTCTAAGCTTCCTCTCACTCTTGGGAATGACAAGAAGCAGCTGATCAGTGACCGAGTGGGAGTGTAGTGGCAAAGAAGCTCTGTTAAATAAGGCGGGGCAAGGCTGTTTAAAACCTTATAAACGAACAAAATAATTTTAAAATGAATACATGGGCAGCCAGTGGAGAGAAGCCAGGACAGGGGTGATGTGCTCTCTTACGTGTTCCTGTTAAGACGTGCAGCAGCATTTTGCACCATCTGCAGACGTGTAAGTGAGGACTGGCTGACTCCGAGATAGAGAGAATTACCAATACAGTAATCCAGCCGTGATGAAATGAAAGCATGGATTACTGTTTCAAACTGTTTGCTTGAAAAATAGATTTTACCTTTGCTAATTTTCTTAAATGATAAAAAGTACCGGTAGACTTGACCATGGCCCTTATTTGACATTTGACTGTCATGTTTAAAATCACTGTCCATCTTAAACCCAAAGTTTGTTTTTGGACCCAGTGGAGCATGCCTGAGCCCTCCAATTGACTTAGACCCCATGGCAATGTACATTAAGCCCACAGTTACAAATACCTCTTTTTTTTTTTTTTTCATTAAAATGCAGGAAGTTTAGGGCCGTCCAGCTTTAGGATCCTCGAGACACAATAAAAGAGGTTTAATGGACCAAGCATCAACTCGCCTTAAAGGCACATAGATTTGGCAATCATCAGTGTAGCAGTGAAAGGGGATGTCGTGTTTTTTAAAAGTTGACCCTAGAGAAAGTAGATGCAAAGAAAAAAGAAAAGGCCCTAAAATTGAGCCCTGGGGAACCCCACATGACAAAGGAGCAGAAAAGGATTCACACCCTGTAATTTTTACAGAAAATGTTCTGATGATGAAAATAAACATTTCAACAAACATTTTCTCTGACTTATTTATATCTGAGTACTCGAGTCATGTTGACACAATAAATGGAATACAAATACTTATTAATATATTGGTTAATATTTGTAAAATTATATTAGTATTACTAATATATTAAACAGCTGGAAAAGGGTAGAGTGCCCTCTACCGGGTCAGGGAGGAGGTCCTGCCCTCATCTATGATCATGAGCTTTGGGTTGTGACTGAAAGAACGAGATCTCGGATACAAGCGGCCGAAATGAGTTTTCTCCGCAGGGTGTCTGGGCTCTCCCTTAGAGATAGGGTGAGAAGCTCGATCATCCGGGAGGGACTCAGAGTAGAGCCGGTGCTTCTCCACGTCGAGAGGAGCCAGTTGAGGTGGCTCGGGCATCTGGTTAGGATGCCTCCTGAACGCCTCCCTGGTGAGGTGTTCCGGACACGTCCCACCGGGAGGAGACCCAGAGGAAGACCCAGGACACGCTGGAGGGACTATGTTTCTCGGCTGACCTGGGATGCCTCGGGATTCCCCCGGAGGAGCTGGACCAAGTGGCTGGGGAGAGGGAAGTCTGGGCCTCCATACTTAAGCTGCTACCCCCGGCGACCCGACCCCGGATAAGCAGAAGAAAATGAATGGATGGATAAACAGCTGAATTCAATAAGAAACATATATAAAATTGTTTATCTGTTATCCAGAGCTTTTTAAAAATTGTGTAAGTATAGGTTTAAAAAATAAAAACAACTTAAGTCCTTGCATCAACGTTGTTAGCTCTGGTTTCTTAACAGTCCATGTTTCAGACTTTTCTTTAGTTTAATATAGTCATAATAAATGCCACTGTATGTAGAAAGAGGAGCCATAAAACCATCATTCATTTTATTATTTTACTTTACATATCATTAAAAAGATTTAATGATATATTTTTAATTGTGTACAGTGTGCTGGGGGAAAAAGCAGTTGTCATGAATCTACCTCAGATGATTCAATTCTCACCAAATGAAATCTTACATTTCCACTACACCACAGACAGGATTTCAGAAAAAAAAAAAAAAGTATTTTTACTTTTTTTTTTTTTAACTCACTAGCAGAAGAACAAGTATTTAACTGAAATAAGTATAGGGAAATAAAAGTGTTGCAGAACTTACACCAATGGAGCTGAGGGAAACAAAGGATGCACATTTTTAGCTAACATCAAAAAGGTCAAAATCGGATATTTGTGTTTATCTTCTTCCTCTTTGAAAGGGAACAGAAAGCCTGACAAGAGGAAGTGGTGGTGTTTTTACATGCATGTAGCATCACATGAGTCTACATCATTTGGAAAACACCTCAAAATCACTAGGCAACTGTAACGTTTGTGTGTAGTTGGTAAACTACAACAGTTAAATGAAACTCTTGATGTGTTACATCCAGGGCCACCATGATTATTTCTCATTGGTCTAAAAACAAACAAATTTGTTGTACAGAATTTACCTGGGATTTATTTTGTGCATGAATTTAAATAAAGTTAACTATTTGGGATAAATAGTTAACTTTTTGAATTTTGATGGAAGATTATTAATTTGTCCAGATTGTCAGGTGATTTTGTTTGTACTGAATGTGCTTTAAATGTCACAACCAGATCCCAAATGTTGTTGTCGTCATCATCAAGTTGACAGCCACAGAGCCGGGGACCAGTACCGGGACGCATAGCAAAAGTAAAAACTTTTCATTTGAATTTTTTTCTCAAACTAATGTTAGTTAAATGAGTTAAAAAAAACAAGCAGGTGCTTCTTTGAAAAAGAGAAAAGTCCTGATGATGAGACAACAGAAGGCTCCACGACTGTCACCAAAAGCATCTTTCAGCTTTTCCCTCTTCAGGGGTCGCCACAGCAAGTCATCTTTCTCCATCTCACTCTGTCCTCTGTGTCCTCTGTCCTCTCCATTTACTTCCATATCCTCTCTGCATCCATAAATCTCCTCTTTGGCTTTTTCCTGGCATCCTTCTACCAATATACCCACTGTCCCTCCTCTGGACACATCCATACCATCCCATTCTGACTTTACATCCCAGTTGTTAAATTGTGTGTTACCTCTGATATAAGTAAATGCTATGTGTAGAGCTGCTTGTTACCAAATATAGAAAGAGAGTTTTTGGATTGATGAGATCCTCCCTTTCATTTCAGTGAATGTTGTTAAAGGGTGGTGTGTGTGGGGGTGGGTGGAGTGAGCCAAGGTTCTGAAAAGGAGACTGCGCATCATCAAGGTCGGCCCATCCCAGCATGTTCCTGAGAGGCTGGTGGATGCTCTGCATTGTCTGAACCAGTGGGAGGGGGGGGGGGGGGGGGGACTCAGAGGAGCTGAAGAGCAGGTTTGAATGAAAAAAAAGCAACTTGAAGGGTCTGCTGTTTTCATGATGACTCTGACAGAACTAGGGCAACTTAATATAATGTTCAAAGCTGCTTCCTCTTATGTGAAGCATCATGTGACTAAAAGGAACGTGTTTTTGAACCAGGAAAACAAGGATGCAGATTTACTTGATGACACTCAGAAATATTGAAGGACTTAATTACATAAACAAAGAGCTGATATGGCAACAAGCAATACAAAAAAACAAAAAAAAGTCTGACATGGCAGCAAATGAATAAAAACCAAGGAACATTATCACAAGGATCACATGATGACTAAGGAAAGGAAACGATATGATTGAACGAGGTTCAGTGAGGACTGAGAGAATAGGTCGAGTCTGACAGATCCCAACTCTGGTCCACCCTCAATATCCCAAAACAAATATAGGTTTGATTCTAACATTAGTGAAGAGCACAAAACAGCAAAAGTCCTAATCCAGGTTATAATATTGCAAATAACTGTTAATGTTTATGGTTATATATTATAGACGGTAGGAGTTACTCCATGTATAAGAACAGAGGTAGTTTTGTTTCTTCTTCTTTGCTTGTCAGATCCTGGGTAGTGGAGGGAGCAATTTTATTCTCCACCAGGCACAATAGCGGAGCCAACAACAATGGCCAACTTTGGGGTCATCTATGGTGACCCCAACGATTTGAGGAATCCACACTTTTAAGAAAAAGGGTTGTAAGCTCAATCATCCAAGTAGATAACAACAAATAAAAAGGTTAAATCGTGTCATGCGGATCAGTTTCTTTAAGTAAGAAATGTTTCGTCCCCCATCCAGAGGACTTCCTCAGTCTACGGCCTGCCAACCAGATCTGTCCCATAGGTAGCCTTCACTGCTGTGTTTCAAGCCATCCTCATGTTGGAAACTCACAAGTAGACTTTTAACACACGCACAACACACCCATTCAAAACAATTCATCATCATGTACAACAATCAAATGTTTTAGGCCAGATGACCAACATGCTACTCACAGAAACTGCCTGAGGACAACCATGGCCAAAGTGGTTCAGAAAAGTGTTGTAAGCTCAATCATCCAAGTATAACAGCAAAAAAAGGTTAAATCGTGTCATCTGGACCAGTTTCTTTAACTTGAGAACTCACTTAAAGAAACTGGTCCAGGTGACACGATTTAATCTTTTTTGTTGTTGTTATACTTTAAGCAATTTAAAACTAGAAAGCACAGTTTCCTCAAATTATAGGCCTGGCCCGTTTACATATAGAGATGGTAGTGGCCATCTTGGATTTGGACGTGGCAAACTAGTTGTTGATTGTGATCTTTCCTGTGCCTGGATGTAGCAACACGCCAAAATGGAAGCGGGCACCTCACTTATTTTTCAAGTTATCGTGCTCACGACATGCACAGACGGACGGAGGGTATTTCCAGTTCTCCCTCTTTGCTTCATGATGGGAGACATTAAAGTTCTGATTTATCGGAGAGCTGCTCTCCTTTCCCGACGCTCAAAAAGCAAATTAACATTCAGAAACAGAAGTACGGGTGGCACGGGAGAGCAGAGGTTAGATTAGTTGCCTCACAGCAAAAGGGACACAGTTTGGGGCCTGTGTTGTCATGATTCGTGTTTGATTTTCTGTTTGTTTCTTGTGATGTCTTGGTTTATGTGCTTTTCCTTTATCTCTGTTTGTTTTATTGTTGCCCTGTGTTTTCCTCTGTGCCATCAACCTTATCTTCTTCACTCTGTTCTACTTCTCTGCTCCAGTACGACCAGTCACACCTGTTTATTTCACCCAGGTGATCTGATAATTAGCTTGTGGCTTCATATTTACTTTGTTGTCATCTCAGCATCAGTCTGCTGGGCTTCATGCTACGTCCACTGGTTTTAATAAACTTGAGTTTTATTTTATCTTACCTCCTTGTGTCAGTTTATATTCCAACTCCTGAAACTGTGACATGTGGGAAGTTTACATGTTTAATTTTTTTTTCCCAGAGATCAAAACCATGCATGTTGTTCTAACTGGTTTATCTAAATGTTCTTGTAGTCTTCATGTCTATTTTGTCAGTCTCCCTGTGGACTTGCAACACGTCCAGTGAGTACTCACCCTCTTACATGACGACTGCTGGAGCAAGTCACCAACAACCCTAGATGAAAAAGCAGGTAATGAACTAGATGGGTGGAATAATGTTCTGTTAGGAGGAGCCTTTCAAATTTTTGTCATTTATTTGTCAATTTAAAATAAATTACAAAACTGCTCAAACATCTGTTTTAGAGAAGCACCAAGTTCCACGGTTTACTCTAATGTGCTTTTAAGTCTATATTTACTTGTTTATTTATTTCTATATTATCCATGCTGCTGATTTCTTGCCTTAAGCTGCTGTATTCATACCCTTCTGCTCACAACAGCTCATAGGCTGCTGTTTAATACACCATATTATATTACATTATTATTGTTTAACTATATCTTACATCTTTATATACTGTTTATTTTTTATAGTTTATATTATTGATATTTTGGTGTAACTGGGACCTTACACAATGTCGTTCCGCCTCATGTACCACATGTGATGAGAATTTTGTTTGGGTTATGATCAGACTAAAGTGAAAAGAATAGGTTTGAGTTGCTAAATTCTGTTTAGTCTTACTGATTATTTTTAAATACTTTATCAGTTGCCATAATCCACGTGTTAGAAATATATTGAAAATGAATTTGAATTTGAGTGAAACTTGTTGTAAAACGTTTTGGCCAGCAGGTGGCGACATAAAACACCTTACTTGCTGATTTACAGTTTAGCTTTCTAATGAATTTACCAGCGTGAAATTGTATAACTATCAAATATAACGAGGCAAAATAAAAAGAATATTGATCATAACATTTTTGTACCCATGTTTTTGTTTTGATTTCTGCAGGGGCAAGTGGAAACCAAAGGGCCACACGTCTCATGTCTTTCAAATGTGAAGCTTTCTCGTGATGTTGAAATGATTAGGTGAAAAACTCTGACACTTTCCACCAACCTAAACAGTTTTGCAGATCAGCTGTCCACACCACAGGGCAACAGAGGCCCCTATAACTTCCCTGTCTTTTGAATCCACTTAATAATCCAGCTGGTTTTTGTTTTACTTGTTTTTTGTAAACTATAATTTATCTACTGCTGAAATCCAAAACTCTTGTGACTGCTCTGAGAATGAGGCACTGGATATTTGTGCCAGCCCTCACAAAAAGTTGCATTTACCATAAAATAAATAAATAAAATTTAAAAAGACCAATAAATCAAAAACGGAAATTCTCTCAAAGTTAAAAGAATATAATTTTCCTTCAAATAAATCTGTCAATACACAGAATGACGAGATCATTTGCTACAACCAAACAATACTGTGAACTTCATAAACATTAGAGCACGATCAAACTTGACAATTGTTTTATGAGCTTTGAATAATATCGTCTATATCAAACTGTTTTTGAGAGATCTCAAGTTTATTTGAATCAAATTCAATTCCACACTCTTTAAAGTATTATGAATATATAATTTTATTTCCATCAATGCATTTCAGTGTATTACAACTAGAGCAGAAGAAGAACAGGAAGAAGGGTGAAGAGATAAAACAGCAGATTTAGTATTTGCTAAAGAAAACAACGGATGAAACAAACTCATTGCATTAAATGCATCTTAGTCCACGCAGACCATCAGGCTGGAGAAATGCCTCTGGGTTCCACAGAGGAGCAGCCTTCACTTCTTGGCAGCAGCCTTGGTTTTGGTGGACTTGGCCTTGCTCTTCCTGGGTCTCTTTACCTTCTTGGACTTTTTGGCTGCAGGTTTCTTGGCTTTCTTGGGGCTCTTAGTCTTCCTCTTCCTTTTTGGTGCCTTCTTGGCTCCTCCAGTTGCTTTCTTAGCCTTCTTTGCTTTCGTGGCCTTCTTTGGCTTCTTCTTCTTCACCACCCTCCTCTTCCGGGATTTTGGAGCCTTTTTGTTCAGCTTGAAGGAGCCAGCCGCCCCGCTCCCTTTAGTCTGCACCAGAGACTTCTTGTTCACCAAACGCCTGATGGCGACGATGATCCTGCCCTTGTTCTTGACCACATCGTATCCTCCAGCTTTCAGCACCTTCTTCAGGGCTGCCAGGGACACTCCGCCACGCTGCCCAGATCCCGACACAGCCTTCAGGATCAGGGCTGACACCGCCCTCTTCTGGGAGCGGGCCCTCTTTTTGGGAGGTTTGATCGGACACGCCGAAGGCAGAGCGATCACAGAAGACATTGTGAAGCTGGACCAGCAGGATCAGGTCAGTGAAGGTCACAGAGATGCAAGGACAGAGTGTTATCTCTGCTGGCCTTCTTGAAGTGAGGCCTTAAGAAACCCTGACGAGAACCGTGGAGAGTCAACCCCACCTCCACTGAGGGAATCTCCTCCACCTCCTCTGACATGATAAAGTTTGTGTTTTCTTAAATGGGCTTATTCTGTAAAAAATCAGAAAAATAAGCTGAACATTTACAAAAAAACACATTAAAAAATCCCACACAACCGTTACTTCATATATCTGTATTTGTATTAATAGTCTGATCAAATAAATAGTATTTTTATTGTCTATTTCTCAGCAGGCAGTTGTCAGTTGCAGGTGAAGAGGTGTGCTTTGGACATTTTATAAGGTAATAACGCCCAAACAATCAGGTGCACAGAGTTATAATTCAAAACGCTTAAAGAGTGGTGTGTTTCTGACGTTCTGATCTCAAAATGTAATTTTATTTCTGTTTCGTTTGCCTGAAAAATCCAGAGGAACATGAGCAAAGAAACACAGACGACTTTCTGCTGAGAAGTTTTCATGAAGTCCTGGAGCTTCTACCAAGAAATGTCTGAAACTAAAAACAACCGTAGTTTTCATGACACCATAAAGAGGAAAAATATCACTGACTGTAAATTAAATATTATTTGTATCAAAGTATAAAGGTTACAATTAATGTTTTTCCATATTTGTAGTTTAAATTCACTTTAGCCAGATGAGGTGAGGAGCTGAGGAGGAGTGTGGGGAACCAAAAAATAATAATTTAAGATGATTTACTTGAGTTGTTCTTTTGTTTAGTCGGTGAGTAAATAAACTCATATCAGCTCGTTTGTGTTTCTTTTTGTCACAAACATCTATTCATGCTTTTAAGTCTTTATTTTTCCCATTCAATGACAAATGTGATGCCATAAAATACAAAACATTTTTGAACATTAGTCTGTTTGCGAAAAATATGATTAATAACACTATCAACATACTTCTCTCCGGTTACAGCACAAAACATCAAACTGACACAACTGGAAAAAATATTTCTGCATAAAATACTTCAAAATGATACAAAAAATAATTTTGTATCATATGCCTTTTTCTTCCATTTCCCATACAAGAAACATAAACTAAACTGCATGTCTGTTTTTCTATATATTCATTTTATTTATTTTTTCTTTGAATAATTTTATTGTTTTTCGTGCATTTTTGTTTTCCATGTAAATAAAAACATTTTTATGTGTTTGGAGCAAAATGCATGTTAAAAACAAAACGGTTTATTTTTTGTTTGTTTGTTTTTAAGCATAAAAAATGTAAGTGTGCTTATTTGTTTGTTTTGTTTTTAGTGTCACTTTTTGAGTTTTGTGTCTTTTTTTGGGGTGACTATCACTCACTTTCCTTCCTTTTTTATTTACTTATTTATTCATTTATTTATTTATTGTATTTATTATTAGCAGACTTTGCAATACTGTTAAAATTTTTATTTTTCCCATTAAAAAAAAAAAACTTGATCAGATCGCTGAAGCCCTAACAGAAACAGATGTTTTCTCCCGTTCTCTCCTGAAATTTAGTGTTCGTACGAGATAACGCGTTTACGTGTTTGGATGTTTGGGCAAAGGCTGGCGAACACAGCCTGTCCTCCTGCTGTGCACTGATAGGGCCTCCTCCAGTCGCAGGCCAAGACACAAACACAAATGATTGTGAGTTTCTGTGGACGTGCAGTTCTGCAGAGGAGTCTGTGTTGTCTCACACCAGTCTCACTGTGGACGTTTTGAAGGCACACGTTTGTGTTCGGTGTCCACAAAATGAACGCTGGTCACAATTTTCCTGTTGAAGAAATTCAAACTTATATTTTAATAGGATTTGTTAACACGGACTGAATGAACGGTGACTCTAAAAGTGAGGGAACATTATAAAAGTCCATATCTCTAAAAGGTTCTCCTGGTCTTCATCAAACTGTGCAGCTTCAAAGAGTTTACTCCAGTAGTTTGTGGTATTTTGATAAGCATATACTGGCATGAAAATATCTTTTTCTATTTAACAAAGTGCATTTATTTGTCTGTTTACTCAACAGATCTGAACAGAAATACATATACAAACACATTAAAACGTGTTGGACTTCTCCATCTTTAACAGTTCTTACATGGACATGGCAGTTGACTTATTTGCAGTCACTTCAGCTGTTCCCATAGCTAAATAAATTAATAAATAAAAACTGTATGGTAGCTGACAGCCACTCACAGATTCTACCCCATAATTTCCAATTTAAGCCAACCCTCAGTATGAAAGACTTATTTATTTATTTGTTATTTTAGTACTTCTTCATTTTCTCCTGGTCTTCATGACGTTGCACTGAGTACCTTTAAGACATTTAGCTCTTCACTGAGCTCCTTCAAGCTCAGCTGATTGTCACTTGATAAAATCCTCGGCACAGAGCTGATCTGTGTTCAGTGTTTTATCTGGAAAACCATTCACGAGTCATTTGAAATGTCATCTACCATCCTATGTTGAAAGACTTAAATGCCCTATAATAACTATCTTTTTAGATACACTTTTAAAATGTATATATATATATATATATATATATATATATACATATGAAATAGTTGGTTTTTTTTACTTTGTTCCCAGAGTTACAACACAGACTTAAGGTTTTCTGAGCAACCAAACAAAATGTCTTCCCAGATCATCAGGGGTCACAGATTATCTGTGTGCTGGAGTTGAACAGCGTCACCTGCTGTTCTGGTCATAGGACAAAAGATAAAATGGATGCAAGTCAAAGAACTCAAAGAAAACAAAATGTCCTTGCCTGATCCACTACAGTGCAGTGTTCATAAACATAGGAGTGGAAATATGAGCTGCTGAAGTGCCTTTTTGAATAAACAAAGGCATCAAAAGGGCGCCGGACAAAGTCTGCTCCTTCTCTTCGTCTTGAATAGTTCTGAGATAAAGTTCTGTTGAGACAAATGTTAAACTTTTTTGAGGCTGATCTGCTTGAACAATGAAAGTTACTTGGAGCGACTCCTCCTCCCACGGTGTCACTGAAGGAAAGCTGTAATATAACATGGAGTCTACGAGCGACCTGAGTGGACAACATCGTCTGCTGTTTCTAAATATCTCACGAATCATTGGACACATTTTTATTAAACTTGTAAAGAAAAAAAAAAATATGCATCTATGATTAACTGATTAATTTTTGGAGTCATTCTGATTCAAGATGGCTGCCACCTAAATAAAGAAAGCACCTAAATGTCTGTAACTTGGTCACTTTTACAGATCTTGAACTAAACTTAAGTGTGGTTGTAGCTGAGACTGCTGCCCAGCATATATTCTGAACAATAACATGTATTGCAAATTTTTTTTATTTAAAAATGGCCTTTAACTATTATGAGTCAACTCTGTCTGTCTGTTAGCAAAATATCTCTCAACACACACAACATATTTTAATGAAACTTTCAGGAAATCATCCATGACTGGTCATCTATAACTGATTACCTTTTGGAGCTAATCCAATTCAAGATGGCCACCAAAGCCAGCATATATTATAAAACACAAACATGTGTATAATTCAAATAACTTTTCAGCTATTGCGCTAATATTTGGCATGATAGTAGCTGAGAGTCATTCACAACACATACTCCAAGTGCTGCTCATACGTGAAATATTTGCCTAATATTTTAGCTTTAACTGTTGGAGTCGACCCTGTTTGTCTGTTAGTAAAATATCTCATGAACCACAGGATGGATTTCAACAAAACTTGCTGATATGAATAACTAGATGTACTTTTGGAGTTGATTTACTTTTGGATTCAAACCAAGTAAAGATGTTTGCCACAGTTAGTCACCTTCAGTCAACATAAAAATGTCTACGAGTCAATTAGTTTTGCAGACATTGAGTTCAAATGTGATATGGTTGCGGCTGAGACTTTTCTTGCAATATTGCACAAATTTCACCTAAAATTAATGTCAAAATTTCACCAGGTTGGTTACAAATCCATCTTTATTTTCAATACAATAAATTCACTTTATCTGCAAGGAACAGTAAATAATAAGTCTTATAAGATGATCTTGGTCAAATATCTGGTCTGAAAGGCAACAAGCTACTGTATATGTATTTCTTCAAGAAATCAAACGTGTTTTTGGATTAGGAGTTGAGACACTACGTCATGAGTGTTTAGTCAGGAAGTCCCAGAACAGATGATGGGTGGAACCAGAGTGACTCTCTGAACCTGCTACAGAAAACAGCTGCTGGTTACTGAGTAAGCCTGCACTGACGGGAATTATTATAAGTTTGAATGTTTTTTTTTGTGATTCAGAGCTGAATCAGATTTGGTCTTTTCAGGTCAATGTGTTTAGGCAAAATAGGAGCGGTAAACTGTTTTCAGCCTGTCTGACGTGATTTGATTTGGACTTTTTTACATGGACCAAATCTTATTAACCTGAGGCATCATAAAGTCTGACATGAAAAAAAGAATCACTGCGTATCAAAGTTCATGCTCAAGAATCCAGGTAAAATAATCCAACAAAGTTAAGTCAGGTTCTGTGGACGGTTTCTTAGTGTTGAAGCGTTTCGTCTTTCATCCTAAGGACTTCATCAGCCCGAGGAGCCACAACAAACTCAGTTCCATAAGTAGCACACTCACATAGAGGGCCAACCAGTTTGATCATGATAAGATGGTTTCTGGAGTCCCTCATGAGTCCTAACTGTTGATGTTTTGAACCACTTAGGCCATGGCTGCCTCAGAGGAGTCGACGAGGGAGAGGGCGGACTCCAGAAACCATCTTATCACCATCAAACTGATTGGCCCACTATGTGAGTGTACTACTTATGGGACTGAGTTTGTTGTGGCTCCTCATATTGATGAAGTCCTTTGGATGAAAGACGAAACGTTTCAACACAAAGAAACCATCCAGAGGAACAGACTTAACTTTTGCTGAATCACAGTGTAGTTTAAACCAGTGGTACCCAACCCTGCTCCTTGGGGAACACCATCC